TTCGAGCTGCGATTCTCATACTTACCGAGTACCTCATCGTCATTGCTGCCATAGCGAATGTGACTACTGCCAGCTATTATACAGGACTCTGGACCATCACCAATATCAGCTGTAGCACAACATGGTATCCAATTGTCTGGGTATTTATTACGATATGCCTCCATCTTATGGGCATGCTTTCTCTTGCTCTACGAGTAGAAACAATAAGAGGCGCGGGAACAACTCGAAGTATCAAAACTCGGGCCACTGAGTGGATACAGCACGAGTTCAGACCATGCATCACGCACGAAAAGCTTGCATTAAACTGGAAAGAGGAGAATATAGCCTTTATTTTCATCTCGTGGTTAACATCGGTCGGAACGGTCGCACATCTTCTTTATGGCACAATTGCATTTTCGTCTTTGGTATTTATAGGTAAGCTTTTTATACTACATTGAAGAGACAAAAGACCTAAATTTATTCCCTAGGATGGGTTGATAGCACACAGATTATCGCCAGATTTATGGCTTCGGCCATTGTTTGCCGTGCGGTCCTAATGTTCGAGCTCGCAGGGATGAGAAATGCGTTATTTTCGTAACTAGAGTACTGTACGAGTTCGAATGATCGATAGTGGCGAGATGAGTGGCTTTATTATTATTATTTTATTATTGAATGCGAACTTCTCTTGGCTCGACGGCCCCAGAGGATTGTGTTATCTGAAAGCCAAGCTAGGTACTTTTTCTTTTATGAGGTAATAGTCGAAGATATCGGGCCTAGTGGGAGGGCGAGGAGCTATGGCGGCACGGTCATAGCGTGCTTAAGTTGAAGTCTGGGATCGTGGTTGACAACTGGAGGGGTAAATGAGCCCTTTATCGACCGTCCAATTTCGCCGTGACCCGGATTTTTTTGATCGTGGAACACTGCTCGGTCATATTGATGAAAAATGCTCCATAATGGGATCTAAGGATAGCCCTTGTCGGTTTAGGTGGTGTTGGGTGAGTTCAAGATCGCCGGTGAATTTCTCAATGCTGACGGCGTGGAAGAAAATCCCAGCTTGCTATCGAATACTCTTATCGAGTTCGAGATCAATCGCCCGACACATGTATTCTGGATTCATGCGAGTAATGCAACCCGTTTCGAGCAGAGTTGTCGAGATATTGCCGACCAAGTCAAGAGATACGGCCGGCAGAATCCTAAGGCGAATGTGTTCAGGCTCTTTCGTGATTGCCTACAGGATGAGAAAAACGGGAAATGGGTTCTTATCCTCGATAATCTTGATGATGATCAGTTCCCCCATGAGATTCCACCAGAAGAGCAAAATAGGAGTGATGAGAGTGGCATGCCAGGACGATCGAACTGGGAGTATTTCCCCCAGAGCTTGGCCGCACAGCCAGGCAACAGAGCTTCATGCACCGCCCCCAGCCAGGCGTCTATGGTTTACGGGGGAGAGTTCGATTATAAACCACAACCCACGAGGCTGGGTACGGATTCATATTTTGGTCTAGTTGGGTAAACCAACTTCGGCGAGGGGGCGGCACAGGGCGGCGGGGCGGCTCGCCGTCCAAAGTTACGGGTGGAAAGGCGGCCGTTTCTGGCGCCGGAGGCTGTCATTTTCGGCGTCACTTTCACAGGTCCTCAGATTCTACTTGTAAAAGGCAAAGAGTATATAATTATGGTCTTTGATGGTGCCTAGGAAAGTCGAGAATGTGAATCTTAGAATGACCATATTGTTTTTTTATTCGTTCTTCTTTGACAGACAAATCGATGGCTGGGCATACTTTCTTATCAGATCATTGGTAGATTAAATAGTGCGTAAGATGTGAATGTTGTGCTTTACCACGGCTCCCCGGGCCCGTGATATGCCACCTCCGTTACTCCGCACTTGATCAGACTCACCTTCGACAACCCAACCATGTACGACTCCTATCGTAAGTATCTCTATCATGCTCGTGTGTATATAGCTAAAACTCTTCCAGGTCCGCACCCTCTCCTCGCCCAGGTCCCACTGACCGTCTCTCCCTTCATCAGCCTCCCCACCTCCGTCACGTTACCCTACACATACAAATCTGTCCCCTCATCTCTACCCCCCTCAGTGACAGTCGATCCAAGCAGCCCGGATGGTAAGGCTCGCTATGTTGTCTCACCGAGCGGTGAGCACGCAGCTCATCCAGACGACGTCCTCGCCGCGTGCCACTCCCTCGAACAACATTTGAATAGGACCCGTGCCAACGCGGACCAAGCGATCAACGAATGGAAAGAATCAACTAAACAACGCGAGCTAGCCGAAAAAAGACGCGTCGCTCCTGGGTGGCTCGACCGTGAGGAAAAGCTCCTTCAGCCTAGCCGGGCCAGTGCCTCCCCTGACGTACAAGGCGATGCCCATCCAAGCCTTCTGGATAGCTCTTCCCCTGACCAGGGCTCTTCGCAATTGCCGTCTATGGTACCACATAACGATGGGGAGGAGTTGGATAGGGCGTTCGGCGGCCTAGGCGTGAAATGATGAAGGATGGTCTTGCAAGGGGTTAATCCCTCATTCCTCTTTACATCACGCGAGTGCCTGGGAATCGAATTCTCAATGTGGCACCGTGCATCAACCTCTGAAATAAGGTCTCTAAAGGATACACTATGTTTCGGGTGGCCTTTCCAGCACTGGGCTCTTCTATGGCCTTGTCAAAGCAGTTTAACAATCTCCCGAGTCTGCGACAATTTCGCTTTGCCGTGGTGGTAGTGGGACTTTGACTGTCAGCGCTAAGATTATTAAAGATACTACCAAGTACGAGTTAAGCGGATTCAATCATTATTATCGTATTAAATATAACTAATATTGCCTGCGTACCTATGCGGTAGTTCTAAAAAGGCCTAGGGATACACCGAATGTTAACTTAACCTTTCACTATAATGTTTTAGTGTTCTTTCTTTATTATGTTCTACCTATAGACTTTCTTATTTCAATGACTCTTCCTCTTCCTTTAATTCCGATATTTAATCTAATGGATTGTTCAATTCATACTTCGTTCTCTAAGGTGTGTGGAGGCCGTGGTAGGGTCGCATCGCGGCCGGCCCCAAGATGCCATATATATATAGTCAGTCCTCTGGAGGTGAGAGCCACTGGGAATATGGATCACCCATTCGTCGATATATTTGACGACATTCATGCGAGCAGTGCCTTCATGCAGTTCGTGGCAGATCTTCCTTTGGTCTTTGATCTCCTTTGGCTAGATCTTTCTAGGCTTTGTGCCTTTGCTCTTTGTCCCATGAAGCTGTATAGACGCAGCTTCATGGTAGTAGTTAGAGATTATCATCAGTATCTATCGTTATTCACTCAGGTCTCTGTTGATCATCTCTTCTCTCGTAGACCTGTAGGACTCCGCGTCCATCACATATATAGATAGGTATGTATTGTTATGTATGCCGTTCAAACCAGCCTATTCCTTTTTTTTCTTTTTCATTTCTGTACTTCTGCTTTCTATTATTTTCGTTATACTGAAAATGACCCAATCGTGTTAGATAACACATGTGAGAGTCCACCCAAGCTCACTGAAAAGATCCACCCCGCGCCGGAAGCTCTTTTCATTTCATCCCAACAGAAAGCACCATTGTCATATCATTCAACCCTCCCGCTCCCTCTCACTCACTCTCTCTCACTCACTCACTCTCTCTCTACAATCACACATATACTACAATATGGAGGCCATTAGCAGCTCCCCCGAAGCCTCCTCATTCGTGCCGCTGGCTGAACACCAATCGCGCACCCCAAGCTCCTTCTACTCCGGACCCCCAGTATTGTACCACCACAGCCAGCGCTGTAAGATTGTGATTCTTGAGCGCGAGCTACTTGCCACCCCAGCGCTGAATGCCCTGCGCGGCCAGCACGGTGCAAACGACAGCACCGCAAGCCAGAACCAGCAGGATGGCGATGAGAAGGAGGTCGCAATCTCCGACGTGGATACCTGGGTGACATCCGAGTGAGTCTACCAATCCCATTTCCGTCCAAGACCAGATAACCGACTGACCAATTCCTCCCTCAACAGCAAGTTCCTCCTCTTCTCTCGCACCGCCTCAACAGGCGTGTCAATCCCCTACCCCTCAATCTCACTACACGCACTCCAACGGCTACGCGTCCCAGACACCGACGCCGAAGTCCAGGGCCTGTACATGCAGGTCGCGACGCCGGGTGCGCCCTCTGCCGACGACGAAGAGGAATGCATTACAATGACAGTGGTGCTGCCTCCCGACGCCACGCTACAAGAGTCCGCTGAGGGCGTGGAGGAGACGGAGACACCCACGCAGCAGCTTTACAATGCTGTCTCGGCATGCTCCAATTTACACCCTGACCCAGTTGAGCAAGGCGATGAGGACGACGAGGAGGATGTACCTAAGTTCATTTCAGCTGAGGAGCACGATGGGGTCTTCCAGCTTGGTAATGGTGACTTGCCCCCGCCTGTTGATGGAAGCTCTGGATGGATCACTGCGGAAAATATGGATCAGTTCTTTGATGCGGATGGGAATTGGATTGCTGCCGGTGAGCCGCCTTCTTTCCCTCTTGGGCCTGGCGCGGGGACTGTTAGGTCTCGAGAGGAGGAGAATGGTGTCGAAGAGAATGGAGATGAGGACGAGACAAAGTGGCGGAAGACGGACTGATTTCGATCAGGCCGCTTTGAAGGGAATATGGAATACACGGTGTGGGATTGGCGTTCAAAATACTTGAGTGGTTACGTAGTATACTACCAATGGATCATTTCGCTGTGTCTTATTGTTGAAGGAAACATAGGTAGAGAATGATTGGAGTCTCATGAATATCAACCTTAGAAAACATATGAAAACAAAAGAAAAAGACCGACCCCCAGGCGACAAGCGAGATAAGAAGTAATAGAACAAATAAAAACAGATAGAAGAAAAGGACACTGAAGCTTTTCGCCAACATCAGTATCAGATACTGCACGATAGAAAAAAAAATCAAAAATGAATCAAAAGAAAACTGTCGCTTTCAAACTCTACAAAAAGACACAGCCAAATTAAGCTCATTCACGTAGGAACCCATCGCCGTCATAAAGGCTAGCAGGCGTGGCAGTTCCAATTCCAAGTCCGAGCCCCTTGCCCGTTGGAGTAGTCATCCCTCGGCGGGGAGAAGTAGGAGTCGGGGGTGCATGGTGGCTCGACATATGAGGCGGTAATTGTTGGTTGGTTGGCGTGGAACGGGGGACACTGTTCTTGCCACGGATGGGGGAGGACTCAGGCGTGCGGAACGACCCAATTGGGGCCTGCACGTGAAGGTTAGGAGGGGAGGTGGTCTGGTTGGAATCCTCAAAGATAGTGACGCGATCTTTGACTATTGAGGACCGGCGTGTGTTGTAGAGTGAAGAGCCGCCAATGGGACCCAGCCCGTTGTCCAAACTGGAGATTGAAACACGATCTCGGCGGGATGAGCTATTTGTAGCATCTGTTTTCGTGCGTTGGAGTGAGTCTGTGGATCTGCGCCAGTCACTACCTTCTGTCCCTGTGATACTCATGACAAGGGGGAGGCGGTTGGACGAGGCCAAAGGACTATCTGCATGATGGAAGGAGGTTAAGGGGGCGCCAGTCGACTGCCTTCGAGCTGGAATGACGGCGGGTTGGCTGCGAGGCCCCTTTACGGCTGAGCGTCGTGGGCTACCCATGGCAGGGGAGTTCTCGTGGGATGGCAATGGAGTTTCGGACAGTTCCCATACAGGTGGTACTCTTTCAGGAGAAGGAGTGTGGGTGAGTGAGTTGCCGTGAGACAAAGGGAGAGATGTGAACAGTTCAGGGAGAGCGCGACTGTTTTCGAATGGAGGCTTATTGGCAGCCATGGCAGATGGAGCATGGCTTCTCTTCTTGCAATGGCTGTCGTCATCAATCGGGGGCTGTGGCTCCTCGACTAGTGGCCCGAGAGAGCCTAGTCCGGGCTTGCCATGTCGACTGCCGTACTTGCTACGCCTGGAAGAGGACATAGGAGACCGTGTAGTTGGTGGCAGCGAAGGCAAGGGCTTTGGTGGGTTATTGATTGTGGTCTCGCGTAGATCCAGCTCCTCCATTTTGTCGAAGTCTTCTGGTTCCTCTTCGACGGTAGGAGAGAATGTCGATGACCCAAACGTCATGGGTGGATGGATAGAAATACGCACACAGTTTTGACGTCGGTGACCCTTGCGATGTGGATTTCCACCCTTGAGTGCAGAGGGAAGATTACCCTTTAGAGAGAGACTGCTACGTTGCATCGGACTTGGTGGCTTAGCAGTATTGCCTGCACTGCCTGGTGATCTGACCGGGTGGAACAGAGTCCCACCCCCAGGCGAGCCAACGTAGAATGGGTCGTTCACCATTTCGTCACTCTCATAGTCCGTACAGCTTTGGAATTGATTGACATGTGGCACAGAGGGCATGTGAGAGCCTGATGATCGCCATGACGGGGCTGAATTTGGATATCCCAAATGCCCCACTGGAGTCCCAGACCGCAGAGACGCATGTCTTGAAGGGGGGTTAGACGAAGACATGGAGTCAGTTCGACGTGGGGCACAAGCAAAACGATCGCTGGAGAGGCCGGAGTGGTGAGTTGTCAAACTTCTTCGAGGTGACAAGGAGGCAGACTTATGACGAGTTTCAGTTGTCGAGGAGGAGCGGACAGGGAAGTTGTGCATAGGAGGAATGGAAGTATTCGTGGCAATGAAACTCCTCCGACCATCTTTGACTCCAACGTCTGCAGCACTGAAAGGCACAAACGTGCCTGAGGAGAAGACGGGTGAGGTCAGATCCGTGTCAGCCGACCTAGGACCATTTCTACCGTCATCCAAAATTGAGCTATTGGTAGTATCAAGACTCATGGAGGAAAGTCTCATCACGGAGTCATTCCTAGCGTAACTAAATCTCTCTGGGGGATATGCAGTTGGTGGGGGAGGAGGTACCGGGTGACCGGGCATCATCCCGGCAGTTTGACTAGCAATACTTCCCCCACGAAGACGAGTAGGAGATTCTTCGGTTGGATCAAACACGCTAGACGAGTTACGGTCTTTCAAAACAGGAAATAGACTTGACCGCTCTCGTGCCGGAAGAGGCCATCCAGGTGAGACAGGCTTCATACCTAGATGGAATCCAGTATCATCTTCGTTGGGATCTGGTGTTTGCGCTGGAGTTCTCTCTGCTGGCAATTCCAAAACTCCCTCGACAGCCGAAAGTGGGACGTCCTGTTTTGATATTGATGTTGATGCTTTAGGTGGCGGACTAGGAAGATGTTGTGATTCACTCAACGTAGCTAACGAGCTCATGCGTTTATGGGATGATCGTGATAAGCGCCTGGAACGAGATCGAGAAAGGGAATTGCGGAGAGATCGTGCTTTCTCAGTGAATACAAAAGATGATTCCGAGTCGCTTTTCGGACGATGCAAACTTTCTCTCGACGTTAATTGTCCCCATTCTGACGGTTTACCATATGGAAGCTGCCCATGCGCTCTTAATATGCTCCCTTCTGCCCGGCTCAGTTCAGTCAAGGTGTCCACCGGGGCAGATCGCAAGCCCCCATTGCTCCATCCTTGTCTCTGGGTGAGGCCTATCAGCCTCATTGTATGGCGCTCTTTGCGATACCTGACCCAGACAATAATGCTGACCACCGAGAGGGCAATGAAGATGGCCGCGCCGCAAGCGGCTATGGCGATGACGGCGGGCAGCGCCAGCATGGTCGCCTCGCTGGCGTGTCACTGGGCTGATTCCGAGACTATACAGACGCAATTGGCGGAGACGATCCGTGAGTGGTGGATTGGTTTTGAACATGCGATGTTGCAACAGTGAGGCTTCACAGAGCTGGAAACTTCATCCTCATGGAACACAACAAAGTCTCTCAGGAATAGGAAACAACAAGAGTTGCCAGCATTCCATCAAAGGGACCACCGTTTGTTATGGGAACATTGATTCCAGCCGAGGAATGCTCATTCATCATCACCCGGTGCAAGGAATGCTGGCGGCCACACTACCCCCTTCAATCTTGTTTCAGCAATGACAACGCCACCGAATACAATTGTGACAGCAAGCCATCGGCACATCTGACAATCAGTACAGAGAGATTGGATGTTTAATGCCCTAATCAATTGAAGTCTATACTTGACACGAACTTATCGCCATTTTTCGAGTGTCCTTTCCACGTCTTCTTTGACATCCTTGTTCGATGGAATCTAGGGTGTCCGTTTAAACATATTTCTAGTGTTTATATGTATGGCGAATAGCCCCCAAGAAAGTGTCCAACCATGGATAACGCTTTTCCACTTGTCGCCTTCGATGATACTCCGGCGATCAATAAGATCAGTCAGTGCGCGCCTTTGGCCAACCCTATTAATGTCCGGATAAGTGATCCATTTTGATTCCAACTGAATGGCTTTGTTAATGCTGGAATATAAATTAGTATACGATATAGATGCGGAGTTTTCATTGGATTGTAGCGTGATAATGCATTGACCAGGATAGTTACCCCTTGGGCGCATGGTTCTCGAGTTCAGTCGGACCCTACCGATAGCAGGACTTTGAATCTCTACAGTTTCCAGTCATAACTTATGAAAAGCCAGTTCAAGCATCTCTACTTTCTTCTGCGGTCGGGGCATCGGAATGGATGTCGTCCTCCTGGGGGTTCAAGTTTCCTGGGACCTCGGCATCCTTAGCCATTTCCAGAAGAGTGGCCAAGTATGTATTAGTCTGAGGTAGATTGTTCCCTATAGCTCGAATCATAGGTGTAAATCCGCATTGAAGCTTTGAACAGTATATTTGCAGGGAAAATGTAGAGTGCAACTTCCACGTTGAACAGCTCAAAGATCTGCGTTACCCCAGTTTTCACCGCCTCATGTGGGCAGAAGGTGAGAATAGCGCCTCTTTCAATTTCTAATAGGCCTGGCTTTTGAACAGGTTTATAGGTCTATCTGACCATATAAAATTATGATGTATCTCATTCCATCCTGTCAACTACTCCGCATGGTCATTGCCTATCCACTATCCACATGGACCAGTGCTATCGAGACACAATGCCACAGCTCCCCACCAAGGTCTATATATAAGAAGGGGGAAAGCCAACGGTCTGGTCCGATTTCCCCGCCAGCGCATCGCTCACCGTCTATCACCTTGGGGCCTCTAGAGTTGCCCCTCATGAGCTCTATATTTAAGTGATCCCCCGAACTTACCCCTACTTTCCCCTTTCACCTTTGTCCTTTTTCCTCTGTGTACTCTTCTCTTACTACAATGGCAGCTAACCCCATTACCGAAAATGGACTCTTTGTCCACGATAACACCACTGCTCCTGAGCACCCCAGTCTCATGAGCATGTTCTCTCTCAAGGGAAAGACTGCCATTGTCACTGGTGCTGGCGCCGGTATAGGTTTGGCCGTTGCTCAGGGTCTGGCCGAGGCTGGTGCCAATGTTGCCATGTGGTACAATAGCAACCCCAAGTGTATCGAGAGGGCCGCCGAGATTGCTGAACAGTACGGTGTTCAGAGTGCGTAACGAATCTACGCCATGTAATTGGTTCCACATCCTTCTAACACGATTTCTTTCACAGCCAAGGCTTATCAGGTTCAGGTCACCGATGCAAAGGCTGTCGAGAAGGCCGTAAATGACGTTGTCAAGGAATTCAATGGCCGTCTCGACGTTTTTATTGCTAACGCCGGTGTTCCCTGGACCCAGGGACCCATGGTCGACGGCCCCCTCGACCACTACCGCGATGTTGTCGCCATTGATCTCGACGGTACCTTCTACTGTGCCAAGGCTGCTGCTGACCACTGGCGCCGCCAGAAGGAGGAAGGTACCGATGCCAACGGCAACAAGCTCACCAACTTCACATACGGCAGCTTCGTTGCTACTGCCTCCATGAGCGGTCATATTGTCAACTTCCCCCAGATGCAGGCCGCTTACAACGCCGCTAAGGTTGCCGTCATTCATCTATGTAAGTTGCTATTCAGACTCCATCGGCTTCATCCCCCGCTAACACCTTCCCAGGCAAGTCTCTTTCTGTCGAATGGGTCCGCTACGCTCGCGCAAACACCGTATCCCCCGGTTACATTGCGACTGAGATCTCCAGCTTCGTGCCCGAAGATACCAAGAATATCTGGCGCGACAAGATCCCCATGGGCCGTGAGGGCCAAGCTCACGAGCTGAAGGGTGCCTATCTCTACCTTGCCTCCGATGCTTCCACCTACACTACCGGCGCTGATCTCATCGTCGATGGTGGCTACTGTGCCCCCTAAATTCTCTCTCATAACAAATTTTAAAAGCGGGATCTTTGGTTTGATGCGTAAATTTTGGGGAGATGCGGTGACTTTAATCCAAACATGACGATAGACGAACGTAACGATAAAAAACAGTTTAGATGGACAAATCCGAATCAAAGTATTCTCCCCGCTCAATAGGCAGCATGTCTAGAATGACTCGCATGGTGAAATGGTGCCTAACATACACCGATGCCAGACACCGACGGAAGCATTTTCCCATCACCGGCACGACCAGCCAAATTTCAACTTGTGCGCGATTGCCGAGCCAATAGCGCTATGGGACCATGGCATCCTTGTAGAAAGAAATGGCTCAATCCCTTGCGTGGCGCTTTTAGTGTTGATAAGCCCCGCAAATGACATCTGGAATGCGACCTACCCCCGCGTGACAGGGCTATAGACCGACGTGACCGAGTCGATCAGTTGCTTCGATGAAAACACCTACCACCTACGAAGTAACCAGCAACATGAAGTCATACGAGGTGGAACTTGAAGATTGAAATGACCTTTCTTTCAAGTCAAGTTGAATAATGACCTAGGAAAGTAGAATTATCGCTCAGCTCATCAGGTGCTCGGAAATTCTGCCAAGCCCATGAATGTAACTGTTGCCCAAAGCCTCATATACTCCTCACCCCCGTTGTTCAAGGATATCGGGAGCAACAAAGGCAAAAACGCCCTGCGATGTCCACTCAACAACTTCATCCAACCAAGCCACTGGTCCACTTTGTTCCTGGTGGTCAATAGTATAAATAGGACGCTCGACTTCGAATTCCCAGATGGGGATATCATCGATTGGGTTCCGTGGCTCGAAGACCGCCTCGTCAACAGCGGAGTTGGACCAGTCAGAGTCATACTCGTCGGAGGACACTGCAGGTTCAGGAGGACTTGGGGATGGGCTGTGGGTGGGGAGCTCGCCGATATCCGCGAAGGTGGGCCGGCGTCGCGGACGGTATGGGCCTCCAGCATATGATGTGGTTAAGCCGTGACCGTCGATTTCAGTTTCGTTACCGCTTTCTGGGAACATATTGACTGTGTCGCGAGAAGGGCTTTCGCCGTATCCATGATAGTCAGGTGATGCCATGGATGAAGTCGTGAGAGGTGGGGGGTGTTGTTCTTCTTCATCTTTGGCATCGAAGTTGATTGGCTCGTAGCCTGCCTCGGGCATGCGGTTTGGTAGGTTTTGGTTGCCAGGATTACGGTTGAAGAGCTTGCGCGCAATGTGTTGGTACGCGGGGAGGATGACACGACGATGGAAGGCACCGAGGTGTTGCACAACCGAAGCATTATAGACGGCAACGACGAAGAGGAATGAGAGGGTCAGGCAAATTGCTGGAAAGGCAAGAGAAGCTTCTGCCATGATGACCTTCTTGGTCGCAGATGGTTGTTAAGAGTGAACGGGTGGTGTTGAAGATAGAAGGATGCATGTGTGGATTTGGGGAGGAGGAAGGGAAGAAGAAGCAATGCTGAAGAGGAACACAAATCGACATCTAACAACTACTGTGGATTGGTGAACCATAGGCTGATGGAATTGCCAAACTGGTAAAAAATAATATCTAGGCTCATTCAACAGCAAGCGTTGACTATTTTCACTATGTCTAGTCTCCTATATAAACCCATATCAATATGCTTAAAACCAATAGATAGCCAGTCCTTTACTCGATCAATGACATCGCGTAGATGGAACCTAAATTACCAAATTTATCATAGGGCAAACCTCCTAGTTTAAGTATTCCTCGACCCGATGATCTCGTAAAGTCACGATGTCCATTCACGATGTCCAGTCACGCCCGAGCGTAATTGCGCCTTCCCCATATGACCTTTCACGTCCGTCATAACACTTGAAACTCCTGAAAAGGCTTATATTTAGGGAAGATGCTTCCTATATTTAGATTGATGCTACAGCTCTCCCGCGCTCATAGGATATCCAAGTATCTCATTGTGCAGTGAAACACTATTCATTGTTTACCCGCTCTGCTTTCTTTGACTCGAATCAAAACCAAACATCTTTTGTTCGTCCGGATTTAAATTAAGATCATGGAATCTATTGTTTTCTCTCTGCCTTCGTCCACGACGGCGACACAAAGGCCTTTCATGCATTGTATAAATGCATGCCACACTGCATCACCCTTCCCTCAAGTCTTTCTCACCTCACGATCAGATCACAAAACCAAAACTTCGCATATACCTTATTTCAATTATCAGTTCAACCGTACTGTGTGTACTCTCACGCAACCATCCACCATGGGAATTCCTACACGGGGAGATAAAAACCGCATTAGCAAGTGCAAACTTGCGCCAAGAAAAAAGTGGACAGAGGCAGTCAAGGAAAAAATTGTACAGTTCCTCACCAGCGAACAGCTCCTGCATGGTCCATTTGCTGAGAAACCGAAGTCATTGCAAAGTGCCGCTCTACAAGATGCCCTCGAATGCACCCAATGCAGAGATTTACACATTATTCCATATATGATGAATGCAGATATTGCTAAAGGCTCATATATCACGTCGCAATACCCACCTTTCTTCGCCAGCAAAAGCACAGTGGATGATTACATCTCCCCTTTCGACCCGGACGTAGTAGTCCACGAAAGTAACAATACGACATTCTGGGAAGATATTACCCCTGCCCAACAACAGCGTTACTACGACAAGATTGATACCATTCTCAAGAAGGCTGAGGCTGAGTCAGGCAAGCCAATAGATGAAGCCACCGTTCTTTTCGCCCACTACCAAGTGGATTTCCACATCCGCCAACACTACCTCACCCCCCGAAGTATCCTGAATCTATGCCGCTCAAAAGATGATATTAGGGCGCTGACCCACTGGCAATGGAAGAGCGCCGTAGCAGATGAGACAGCGTTTGCAGAAGTCCCCGACTGGGGTATGGGATGGGCGCATGAGCCGAGCAATTCTCTCGGCCACCAGATTGCGGCATGGCGGATGGGGGAAAGAAGCCGAGAGAAGCACCTCGCGGAAGTGGAGGCCCGGTGGGCCGAGATCAAGGACGAGAGACAAAAGCAGAGGATGCGGACAATCAAAATTTTGTTCAAGGGCGAGCACATTAGAACCTATCAGTATGAGCCGTGCGAACCGTGTCTGACAGAGAAGGAGATTATGGATATTACAACGGCTAGGGGTGAACATTATGAAGCCTTTTTGGACGCTATGGATACATGAGGAGCGACAGTTCATTGAATGCTACTTACTATGTACCCGTTTATAGATTTTTTTTTAAAGAAAAGAACAGCTACGCTAACCACAGACCCGGATCACAGGCACCACTTCCTCCAATCTCACGTCCAAGACCCTCTGCTCGCAGCCCTGAATATGACAGTCATCAAACACCCAGAGGTGCTCTCGCACATCACCGCAATGCTATTCTGCCCCAGCGCAGAGCGCCTGCCGTCGAAGCCATGGCTGTTGTTCAGTGGCCCGCTTGAGCAGTCGAACTTTGGTGGTGATCAAGGGCATTTAGTACTTTCACTCTATGGTATAGCAAATATATTTTCCATCTATACTTTCCATCTTGTGAACTTCAATAAAACCGATAACACTGTATATAAATAAGATGAAGTCAACATACATTGGGAGAGAGTAGTAAGAGATAGGTAAGATCAAACTGAGGTGAATGAGACATAATGTAGAGGATCAAGAGAGATGGGAATGAGACCTGTCTGTGCCTACCAATATAAAAAGCCAAATATACCTAGCCAAGATCTCCCGGCATTGATACTATCCCCGCGTATGCGAGAGAGAGACCAATTTGCTACGTATTTAGTTTGGGACAGCGTTGAATGAGTGTAGATCCCACAAGCAGGTCAAACCGTAAGCCGCAGCACTGGGGACACCGGCTGCCGAGACGAGGGAAGTGAAAGCGTAGGAAGAAGTTGAAGAATTATTCCTGAGCGTAAATAATCAATTTTTTCCTTAGGTTGATCTTGCCTATTTACACCCTAAGCCAACAGCATCAAATCAACGCAGTTTCCTTACTGCCAAGCAATAACAAAATAGATATTTCAAGGATAATTTTCGTAGGGTGACTTATTGTAGAAGGTATGCCGACATCTTCAAGTGAATCTACAACATAGAAGCTCACATGCAGTAATGGAATCTTGTCGTATCGAAGACGTCAAGGCGTATGTACTCCGTACCCTAATCCGGACTAGCAACGGCTGCAATGAAAGCCCGAGCCCAAGCTGGGGTCGACCAGCAGTGCTACGAGGCATTATTGGTCTGCAGTGCAGGTTATGCGGGAAGTCAAAAGGGATTCGAGAATTGAATTTTGTTCAAATTCTCCTGGTCTGCTGGCCGTCGCCTAGGTCTTAGTTGTCTATCTTGTAATTCCCCAGTATTTTCGCCATTTCTTTCAACTAGCCGCCCATAACGACGATCAGTCTTCGACGTGATGGCATTGGTTAGAATTGTGTGTCCAGCCCAGAACATCATCATGTTTAGGCCCTCCCACCATGCTGCATTCCCCGCGAAAATTACCAGAAGGACCCGAGATCTTCCCCTTCAGTTACTTCTTTGGGAAGAATCCCCAAAATCGAGCAACTGTACCCCACCAAATCCAAAAATTAATGCGGGCGAACAGCAAAAATAATGTGTTCCAAGGGTCGCAGAGTTGAATATTGGACTTTTTGATACCGTGAGAAAAGGAGGGGGAATACGCCAGGCACTGATCTCCCGGTTGTGGCTGACCCCTCCTTGGCTTATTACAAGGTTATCATTTTGCGATCGACTCCCAAGGCTCCCAAGGCTCGGTCTTGGGGTGGTCACAAGCAATTAGTCCGTGTGCTATCCGACATATAGGATCCCTTGGAATTCTCCAAGAGTCCTTCATGATTGGCGCCCCAAAGCCCTCCCAAAAGAGGCGCTGCGCCACCGATGAAACGCACTGAGTAAGCCTTGCCATTTCGTCACTTCCCAGGTTCTGTCCACGGGACTGCGTGAAACCTGACTTCAAAGCTGTGACCACGCAGATCGGGATTTCTGACGTGGGTATTCAAGATTCTGCACGGCGAACAAGGGGCTATAAAGGGGCCCTTGTTAGCTACGAGATTGACGGGTCTCCGAGGTAATTTCGGACTAGACCAAACAGGCAGTCGACGATCTCCTGATCGGAGGGAAAGACATCTATACGTTTAAGTCAAATATATCTATCCTCTATGTATATATAATTTAAGTATAATTTATCTATATACTATTGTTCTACAAAACATCATTATTATCCCATGGAATTTCCTTTGACCGGGAAGCCGTAACATATGACGTAACGTCGCCGACCTATTAGGGTTTTCCCGAATCACCGGCCCGTGAAGGAGAATAATATGTACAGATTGAAATTTATAGTATTACTATCCAAATAGAAGTATAATATATGTTAATAATGTATATCTAGTCAAGAGCAATAATGACACAGGGGGCAAAAAGAAAAAAACCTCCTCCTCAAACGAGGGGAAAGAACATCCACTGACCCACTACTGCGGATGAGAAAGTGGGTTGAGCCTTTGGGAATTTATAACGTCGTCAGGTCCTAAACCTGTCACCCAATCCCTGCTTCTCTTCCTTCCTTCCCCTCCATCAAATCTTACCTCTTATCTTAACCTCCTACCATCTCCATTTTGATTTAACCTCAATAATTATGTCCACCAAGGTTTTGCTCGTTGGAGCAGCGGGTGAAACCGGAGGTTCCATCGCCAACGGGCTGTTGGATACCGGTAACTTTGTAAGAGCTTCCTCCATGACCACCAATTGACCCCAGACTGACTGTTTCGTTTCTCGCTACACAGGAGGTCATCGCTCTTGTTCGGCCTATCTCTGCCCAAAAGCCAGCTATCACGCGCCTCCAGGATCGGGGATGCCAGGTTCGGAAATGCGACTTGAAGGCCCCAGAGGAGCAGCTCATCGAGGCGTTGGCTGGTATTGATGTGGTCATCAGCTGCGTCGGTCCTGCCGAACAACAGGACCAGATCCCTCTCGCCAAGGCAGCGAAAAAGACCGGCGTGAAGCGATTCGTTCCATGTGGTTTCATCACCGTTTGCCCACCGGGCGGTATCATGTGGTTGCGTGACGAGGTATGTGGAATGTGGCACAATACCTTGGTCAGTAGACTAACACGTCTTTTTTCTACGCACAGAAAGAAATCGTCTACAACCAGATCCGCCAGTTGTGGCTTCCCTACACCGTCGTTGATGTCGGCTGGTGGTATCAGCTCGCCTACCCCCGCCTCCCCTCCGGTCGTGTCGACTACGCTATGACATCCGGCAACGATGAAATTATTGGTGATGGCAACATGCCCACAGCACTGACCGACTTGCGAGACATCGGTCGCTACATGGCTATGATCATCTCCGACCCTCGCACTTTGAACAAGAAGATCCTCGCCTACAACTTGGTGTCCTCGCAAAACAAGATCTACGAGCTCATGGAGGAACTTAGCGAGGAGAAGATCGATCGAAACTACGTAAGTTGCACAGACTCTTGGCTCCGGAATGAATCAATGTGGCTGACCGATTTTTCTTTTTCCGGAGCACAGGTTCCCGAAGAAACCATCTGCAGCAGAGTCGTGGCGGCCCGACAAGCCAGTGAAACCTATCCCTTCGACCCGATCAAGTTCATTCCACGGTATCTGGCCGAATATCAACTGTCTTGGGGAATTCGCGGCGACAACAACCCCGAGTACGCCAAGTATCTCGGCTACCACACCACACAGGACCTGTACCCCGAATTCCAACCCACGAATTTCCGCGAATATCTCGAGTCGGTCATTCGTGGCTCGGCTAAGGGTATTTACACCGATCGTGTGATCTCACGGAAGCACCAACGACACTTCCCGCGTACCGAGTCCAGCGATTCCCTCTACACCCGCATATTCCCTCGCACAGAATCGAGCGACTCGCTTATGTCGCGATGAATCCATGAATAGGAACCCTTTTTACGTATATCGCTTTACCTCTCCACCTCACCCAGGGAGCGACTGTTCCAGACAAACGCCAGTCCCGAACCGCTGCCTGGGAATATTTGACAAAGACTTATGACATCTCTCTCCTCCCCCTCTGGCCCCATTTGACGGGGTCATGGAACTCAGTATGCAACCGACTGGTGCTTTTTTAGGGGTGTTGACAACGTTTTGGGCGTTTGTGATTTTGGCCTTTTGATAGACGCTGGCTACTTTTGATGCCTCCTCGATGGGCTTGGTGGCGATCCTTAGAGCTGGCATAGGAAATGCTTCTATTTTTTGTTTATGCCATTCAATTTCGATTCCAAGGTTGTCCCATGGGATTTCTGCATATAGAAAATATATCCCAATCCATCTGTGGGCCGTGGCTATTCACGCATGCTTGTCTCGTCTCAGCTCAGGTGCCTTCCCTTTTGGTCAAAACTCTACCCCAGTTCCTTCCTCGCCTTTAGCCACTGGGAAGGTATAAATAACCCCCTCCCCCCATTTCTCTCTTCTTCTTTCTCTTCCTTCCTTCCTCAAACCATGCCGGTCCAGATTGCACATCGTGGTTCCTATTGAATCCTCTTCAATTTTTTGACCCTTCAGTTTGATATTGTAGGAATTAATTACTAGAATTTGTACGAAGGAGGTAATAGTAAATTGGCGGTGCGAAAGGCGGTCAAAATTTAGTACGGAATAATACGACATGGCACTTTCCTCTGTCCATCCGGAGATCTGAACAAACCTAGCCTAGAAGGGGCGAATTGTCTATCAAAAAAGAACGAATAAATTAAAGAACGAATAGATTCGGTCATTCCGAGATTCTAAGATTCCAACATTCTCGACTTTCCTAGGCACCATCAAAGACCAAAAGACTTTGAACATTGACGCCAAACCCACGCTGGCACAACAATTCCCGGCCGCGATGAACAGGGAACTCGGCCACGACCATGACGCTGATATCAGCAATGCCAACTTCACCCAAAAGCTGTAGCACGGCACAAAGTGTATTCCCGGTGGCGAGCACATCGTCTACAACCATCACCGACGCGCCTCTAGGGATCATATCGCGTTCTATCTCGATCTTATTCTCTTTTGAATCGGATATTGAAGATATGTGGGATGTACTCTTAAGGACTGAAACTGTGGGTGGAGGCAGTTTCCCGGCTTCGCGAATCAACGCCAAAGGTACATCAACCCGTGAGGCCAATGCCGACGCATAGATAAAACCGCCAGTCTCGCAACTCGCTATCATATCGACTTTAGCCCAGTCACCGGTGAAATGACTCTGTAGTAGAGATGTGCATAGTGATAGCCCACCCGGCTGCTGGGAGATGTTGAGCACATGGCGGAATATGACACCCGGGCGTGGAAAGTCGGGTACCGGGCGCACCATGTTGGCGAGTCGCTGGAGGTCCTCATCGAAGAAGGGAAGCAGATAGTCTTTGGCAAATCTTCTTACCGCATCGTTTCCGGTCACGTCATTATTGAAGATGAGACTGGGGCGATAGTCCAAGGCCTCTAGTTTTGGCCTGCCGTTATCATTATCCTCCTCGTCGTCACCATCGGCGTTATCGCTAGGGCAGCCTCGGCGACCGCGCCGTGTCTTTTGGCTAGCTTCGACGCGAATATCGAGCAGTCGGCTGTCTGGCACTAAATGCGCGAAGACTGCGACTGGCGCCTCATCTCTTATCCCGGTGATTAGCAGCACATCGACGTCTCCGGCGCCGGATACCACATTTAGAAAATGTTCTTCTGGTAGACGAGGTCGACGCCGAACCTGTCTCTGGAAGAACGCCGTTAATGCTGGCCGGTGTTGCTCTTTGTAGGCACGGTCCCGTAGCAGGCAGTCCAAGTCAGCACCGCTAACTGCCGCGTATTCTCGCTTGGTTGCATCGCTAATGCTAGCTGCGCGCACCACCAGGCTTTTATGGGTGTATTCAAGGAATGCAGAGACCCAAGTGTCGGCGCAATAGTCCTTGCCGGCGCCGCATGCGCCCGTGACAAGAATAATAAGTCTCTGTTCTGTCGGCGTCGGCGCTTTCTGGAGCGGGCAGGCGTAAGCCAGCACATCATGCGGGTCCGAGCTGTGCTTGAGGCGAACCAGACGTGGCAGGTTCGGGCCAAACGCCTTAGCCGCGAGTACTGTGTCTCTAGGGTCTGGGCCAAGGTCTGCTCCATAAACTCCGCTGCTCACGGGCAACAAGTCGCTCGCGACGTTGTACACCCACCGCACGGCAGCTCGAGCGACTTCGGTTCCATCTTGGTCGCGCGGCCAGACGCCAGTTACCACGCAGGCAAAGTCCCAGTCTCGACAACCGAAAGCAGTTGCATCGGCCGGCATATCACCGATAGCCCCGCCACCTTGTAGGAGATGGAGATAGGAAAGTGGCGAGGGACGAGTCTCAACGGCTGACACTAGGATTTTGGCGATGTTCAATGCTCCGATGTGCTTTAAGAATAAGCATCGCTTGAATGATGAGGTCTTGTTGTTGCCGTGCCCGCCGTGCATTCCGGACATGTACATCTCGGCCTCGAATAAGCCGACGCCATCGACGACCTGAAAATTGTCTTCCGGCCCGAAAATTGCTTCTACGGGCGTAGGCGAGGACATGAGTGTTTCGGAGGTGACGCCAGTCGTGGAAGATTCAAACATGGTCAATCCAAGATGCAGCTGGCCAATGTCCCAATACAGATACGCATCTACAGAACAGTTCTGGGGGAGCTCCCTGGCGACGAAGTTATCAAAATCGCGAATTCTGCGCTGCGCCACTAGGTTGTCACTCAGCGGGATAACCCAGTTTCGAGTCGAGAAGATTGGAGCCGCGCAAGCCTCGAAAGTGACGCTGATTACGATGCCAAAGTTGGTCCCAGCGCCTTTAACCGCCCATAACAGTTCGGTTTCGTTTTCTGGGCGCACGGCACCGACCGGCCAGTGTTGACTTGGCACTCGGCCGATGCATAGAGCCTGGCTAGAGTCGACGCTGACTATCACGGCACCGACGATAGAGTCACACGCGAGCCCGTACATCCGAGCCAGATGCCCGATGCCACCTTGTAGCCATAGTCCCGCGCCTACGCTTGGGCGGGCCCCTAAGGGCACTGTCACGCCCGCCGCCATAGTCTTGTTGACAATATCCCCCGTCTTACAGCCAGCCTCGGCGATAACTAAGGGCTCACCATCCTCGACAGTCAGAATGTGTACTTGGTCGAATGCGCTCATATCGACCGAAACGACGTTGCGATATAGACAGTGGCCGCTGTGACCCCCGCCAATGACAGTCAGGCTGACCCCGTGCTTCAGAGCCCATTTCACGCATTGTAGAACTTGTCGGATCTCTGTTGGCCTAACAATTGCGGCGGGATGGTGAAGGCGAGCCTCCCGATTCTTCACCGTTTCGTTTCCCTCCAATAATGGCACTTGCGCTGTCAGCTCCTTCAACATAGTTGCGTTGTGGGTGAAGGCCACCATCATGCTAGGTGAGCTGAATAAGAGATGGTTTGGGTGGGCTTCCTCGCGACCCCCCAAGGCGCGGCACACCTTACGCCATTCCACTCGGATAGCCTTGGCCGCCTCCATATCCTGTATGACGAGCCCCGCGATAAAAGGAGCAAAGGAGTCCAATGCCTCATCGTCATTTGCCACGGAAACGGCTCCGGTAGGGAAAGAAGCCGTTCGATGGCACACTAGTCCGTCGAGATTTAGGGTTCCGTCGCGATGAAAAACCACCACCATTCCGCCTTTGGGCTGCTCAACAAGCATTCCCAGCGCGCGCTCGATGAACCGGGCTTTGGGCTTCATGCCATATAGGCTGTGGCAGAATAGGATGACGTCGAACTTTTCATAGCTATCAGGCGTAACAGTGTTAGTGCTCTTTGTGTTCAAATCGAATGGAATCCGACGGATATCAGGCGCACTTTCCAAACAGGGCAGCAGGGACTCCGTCTCTGATGCCGAGCACAGCCATTTTTCCAACGTCGTAGCAAAGAGGCCGTTAGGCTCAAATGCAGCGTATCTCCTGATTTTCCCCCTCAGATGACTGGGCAGATATCCAAATACGCTCTTCGGGCCGGGTCCGATTTCTAGCACCGAGATATTGACACGCGAGTTGAAGAGAGGGGCTAGCAGCCGAGAAAGTTGAGGGATAATAAAGTCTTGGTAGGTCATCCACCCTGGTCCTTGCACCAAGATATCGAAGCCAGCGGTGTACTGTGCGTCCGACAATGGCTGCTCCGGGGATGACACTGTCAGAGTGGCCTTTCGCCTAAGAGCCCGCTTGAGGGAGTGGAGGGTGGCCATATCTGTTCAGCATGAGTAAAATGATGAGAATGCTAGGTTTGGCCTTCACGGTAATGTACTTTTGGCTAGCGTAAACCAGTTTGTAGTTGGCGGCAGCTGGCAGCTGTGCAAAGCCACTTGTGGCTAGGTGCAGTTTAGCGACGACTCTAGAGCAGCAGATAGGAAGATAGTGAGTGATCCAACTAGTGTGCCTCCCAGGGCGTTCTTTCCCACCTGGGCATACCACACTCGCACTTGCCTACATAACCACTACTATCCCCCGGGGCCAGGTTCCTGGGCCATTTGGGCTGTTCACTCGACCTCTGATCTTTTTATTCACGTTCTGAGGCTTAACTAATTTGCTTTATCCAACCTCGACGGCCAGGAATTTGTACTGTTCTTTTTTGCAAATATACAAAGATGTTTCCGCGACGCCGCCCCGGATCGAGATCCTCTGCTTGCGAGCTAGGGCCCATCAGCGCCGAGCCACCGGATCAGCAAACTACCCCGGAAGCTCATCAGAGTGAACATGCCCTGGGCTTCACCGATATATACGGGTCCTTGACACCCCGTCAAGTCAGCATCATCAGTTTGTATCCCCCACCTCGTACGGGGACCTACCGGTACATTCTAGTTAACACGGGCTTGCAGCCATTGGATCGGCTATTGGAACGGGCTTGATGGTTGGTACTGGAAGAGCATTGTCCATGTAAGATCGGTTCCTCATCATTCCTCATACTAAGCGGATCTCTATGCTGACCGACACTGACTCCAACACAGGAGCGGCGTAAGTTTCCCTAGGGAGCTCACCGAGGAAGATATTGATCAATTATAGCCGGCAGCTATAATAATCTCCTATACTATCGTCGGTTTCGCGGTTTACCTCGTCCTCTCTGCCTTGGGTGAAGTGGGTTCATGGTTACCAAAACCGTATACCGTTGCAGATCAAGCCGTTCGATTTTGTCATCCTGCACTTGGATTCAGCTTGGGCTGGATGTAAGTCTCCCTTCGTCAAGAGAGCTGCATTTGCTTTGTTTCCTAACTGTTCTCGCAGATTTTGGCTGAAATATGCTGTTGTTACACCGAACCAGCTCACAGCTGCCGCGCTGGTAGTCTCGTATTGGGTGGGTGCAGAGCGAGTCAATCCTGGTATCTGGATCACGGTTTTCCTTTCGATCATTGTGACCCTCAACTTCATCAACCACCGCCTCCCGAGCAAAATTGAGTTCTATGTCTCTTCATTCAAGCTTGTCGTTATGCTTGGACTCATGATACTGTCCACCGTAATTGCTCTGGGAGGCGGTCCGGATCAAGACACAAAAGGATTTCGGTACTGGTCGTACCCCGATACTTTCGGCGCTCAGCACCATCGTGATCACGCGTTGCTGGAGAAGTTTTACCTAACCTGCTCCACGATGTCATCTGCCACGTTTGCATACATCGGAAGCGAGCGATGTGGCTTGGCTCACTTCCCAAACGTTCGAAAAGCTACCTCACGGGCTATCCAGAATACATTTTACCGAATCATGGTTTTCCATCTGCTAGCAATCACCCTTCTCGGGATGATTGTCCCCCACGACTCGGCATCTGTGGCATTTTCCAGCGATGCGTCCCACGAAGCTGCCGCATCCGCGTTTGTTGCGGCTCTGTATTTGGCAGGCATCTCCGTGCTACCGGATTTGCTCAATGCATGCATCCTGTTGTTCGTCCTGTCCATCGCAGACTACGATCTTTATCTAGCAACCAAAGCAATGTGCGACCTCGCAGAGAAGCACCGTGCGCCTGCTTTCCTGTCACGCACTACCCGGAGAGGCGTCCCGATCTATGCTTTAGCTGTGTGCTCATCAACTGCAACACTGGCATATCTTAACGTCCGTCAAGACTCGACTGTTGTGTTTGGGTACTTCGTAGACATGGTCACGATGCTCGGCCTGCTCACGTGGATCTCTATCCTCGTCACCCATATCTCTTTTGTGCGAGCGCGAAAGGCTCAAGGCATTCCTGACAAAGCGCTTGCTTTTAGAGCTCGCTTTGGTCTGCCTGGCACGTGTCTAGCTCTCGCTCTCTGCTTGTTCATCTCCGTCGCCATTGTATTTGACTCTTTCAGCTTTGATGATTCGGGAGTTCGGACGCTCGACATCAAGTCCTTCATTGCTTCGTACATCAGCATCCCTGTGTACATCATCTTGATGATTGGGTACAAGCTTGCTGTGCATAGTAAACGTGTTGACCCCAAGGAGGCTGATCTATGGACGGATAAGTTTGAGCCTAACAGTGTGAGAGGGGAAAGCCACAGCTGAAGGAATGGGGATCAAGATTCTTGACCATCTTTATTGACGAAGGAAAAAGCAATTACCATTCACTACATTCTCCTGATGCCTATTCTGTACCTACAAAGGTTTCCAAGCTTGGGTACTCCTTTCCATTATTCCTCCACTATCTAGTATATCTTGCACAACCATCTCGGAACGTCTATAAGAATATCATAGTTAGCCGTTGATATTCTTGGTACCCTTGTTATGTTTTTTGGGTTGTCTTTTCAGTTGTCTTTTTGGTAGTTTTTTGGTATATATGTAGTTTGTTTGATGGTCTCTCAGACGTTCTCTTGGGTATTTCCGTAGACATGTTTCTTTTTATGGATTTTCTTCCCTTAATTGGTGCTACAGCTAGAAGGATAAGAAGAATTAGCTATCACGATCTGCAAGTCATATGCCAGAGATTAGGACTAGCGATGGTCCCTAGAAACCCTACATCACTATCCTCGGTATGTAAAATCGTACAGTTGTCGCAGTGACAAGTCAAGTGGGGGACGCTAATAGCAGCTACCCGAAGTTGGCGCGAGTAAACAGTTGTCTTGCACAGCAACCCGTGGACCTACTCCGAATACAGGAGTAGGTTGACCTTCCAAGGTGGAGAGTCAATTTAAGACATTCTGCTTCTTTTGAGAACCTCAGCTCCCCATAATTACTCAGTACTTGATTCTTAGAAAACTGCGCATAAGGAAACCCAACGCATCTGCAGTTTGCTTACCCCCACCATGCCTTCGCATGAGACTAACAAAGAACCCTCAGACACTGTCAAATCCTGTCATTCCACTTTTCACCTAAGACTGCAACACAGCGAGATCAATTCCTTTTCCTGAAACGTTGAATGGGAGCTCCTGTTCTCTACGTTCCTCATGGACATGGATCATCCCACTACCCCACAACAACAAAAAGAGGATTTCCGCAGCTTTATCACAAGAGTGAACATTGGCCTCGAGATTCCCCTCCCTGGAATTGAGTCTCCTTTGGCGAGAGAGCGAAATACCAGCCTCCCGAGTCAGATCTACAAGCATATCCGCCCGTTGTTCTTCAATAACAAGGCTGACAAGAGAAGTTTAATTGACAATCTCGAGGAATGGGTCCGTGGGAACCTGCCGTTAGCCGTCCAGAAAAATGTCAGTGAAACCAACGTAGATCGCCGGGCAAGCCAACGACACCAGAGCGAGGAACCCGCACCCCCGCTCTCGCTCACCGGCCCTGAGAAGGATATGTGCATGAAGCAGCTGTTAGCACTCATGAAAGATGAGGAGTATTTTTTTGGCGAATGGTCGTGTCGTAAACACGAAAATGGGATTAGCCGCTAATTCTTTTGGAGTTGCCAAAGGCTTATCACCAAAGAAACAAACGTCTGATGATGAAGATGAAGACGAAAACTTCCACACCGCACCGAATTCTCCCGTGAAGGGATCCGTGCTAGCTCAGTCCCCTTTGGGGAAGAACGGGGATGAAGCTTTACAATTTCCCGAGACTGTGCAGGCTGCGTTTCGAGGGCCTCGAAGGAATTCTGGGGTTACGAACTTGCCGGTCAATAATCATCGAATAATCCAGTCCCCTGCACGGACGTCGATGGGAATTGCGTCGCCAACAAAATGTCAAGTTCACCCGTCGCCCGGAAGGGACAATGGGTCCGTCCAGTCGCCTGGAAATAACAAAGATAACTTCCATTCCCCGGAGAGCGAGTTTTCCTCCACCAGCAAAGGGAAACCAGCACAGGGCCAAGGGTATCACCAGTCGCTCCTTAGGGAAGTGGGCACTAAACCACCATCCAAGCCTCAAGGCAATATTTCCGCTCCGACGAGGAAGTCGACGAGCACTTTGTCTCTAGCGAAGACTCCAGAGGGTGTCCGGTCACCAGCGAAGAACCCAGTATCTGTCCGATCGTCATCCAAAACCCCCAAATCAGTCAAATCACCCTCCCAGTCCCCGTTGAAACAGATGGACCTTCGAGCGTTTGGGTTTGTCAGTAGCCCCAGTAAAGAAACTTCTCCTGCCCAGGAAGATATTGAGTCCAAGAAACCTACTTTATTTGAAAAGCTTAGCGCGGCATCCGATGAGTCGAAACGCAACAATGTGACGCAGTCAGCCAATACCAGCTTTTCAACGACGATCACTTCGTCGGTCTTTATGTCTCGAGATTCTAGGATGGGGCAATCATTTGATTCGGTCATGACCCAGATGACCGAACCAATGGATACTCAGTCAACCTATGCAGATTCGGTCGTTGGGTACATGGCTAGTGACGAGATGCAAAGGAGCGTGGAGGGTGCTGCTGTCTCCATGATGGTAAAAGGCGACCCTGTTGAGACGGAGTATTCTCTTAAACAAGAGTTTGTTGGTGAACTTCTGTCCTACGGCCCGTTTTCGGCGGAAGAATCCTTCTCGGCCAAAATTCCATTGCGGTTTCGATATGAGCTGGAACGCATTGGACGTGCGTGGGGAATTCCCTTCAAACAAATACTCGTTGGTGACCGTCTTACCTTCAACACCCAAGATGATTTCTGGTCATGGGTCAGCAGGCTTGGTCAACGTTATGGCCATCCGTTGCCAGAGAGATCGCCGCGCCGGGCCTGGGATGCTGCTGTTGGTGATTTCAAATCAGATAAGCACTCAGAGGTGGTGGTACTGTCCGGAGACTTTGACTGGTGTGGCGAGTCCGAGCCGGGTATTTTCAAATTGAGACTCAACCCGCTCAAGCCAGAGCGGACTTGTCGATTTCACCGAAGATTTGGATCGGATAGATTCCTAACTCTTACTATCCCAGCCGCAGATCAGCCTCCCAACCATCAGAAACAACCTTCTTACCCGTCAGTCCTTCGCGAGAGTATTGCTTCCTGGCTCACACGGAATGATCATTATTGCCTCGGGCGGACGTGGCGGGCTTTCTATGTTGAAGAAGTAAAGACCAAGCGAAAAGCCAAAGGCGAGCCTCGATTTCGGGTCGAGCTGTTCGCCATTGATGGCGACGACTTTGATCATGGGAACCAGTTACCACCAGTGGTGGCCCCTCCCCAACAGCAAAGTGACAACTATACTCCTATGAGTGTAGATGCGTTGCTGCGATGGCATATGCCCAAGAATTCGAATGGGAATCAAAGTAATTGCAAGCTCTTCCAGCGTATCTCTCTGGGTTTGTCGAAGGCATTTTCGACAGTCAAGTTAAAGCCAACGCAAGTACTCCGTTTGAGAGACGATCCAACACGGCCTGTCATGAATGACGGATGCGCTTTGATGTCGAGGACTCTTGCGAACCAAATCTGTGATCAACTAGGCATAACCACCGCCACGCCTAGTTGCTTCCAGGGCAGAATAGCAGGGGCTAAGGGTCTCTGGATGGTTGACTGCCGCCAATCTAGTATCACTACCATGAATGACGATGACATCTGGATTCAGATCTCGGACTCGCAGTTGAAGATACACCCTCATCCACAGGAATGGGTTGACCCGGTTGACGATGAGAAGTTGACGTTCGAAGTAGTTAATTGGGCTAAGCAATTGCATCCTGTCGACCTCAATATCCAGCTTCTTGCAATTCTGGAATATGGAGGGAACGTGAAGGAGTATATTGCCAAGCTCACGCGTGACGGTGTGCAGAGTCTTTACAGCGACTTCCTTGAGGTTCTTCGATCAAATAGCCCCGTGGTTTGTCGAGCCCTACTTCAGAAGCTCAGACCCTCTGGTGAGGATGGAACTGGAAAAGCCCGGCGCTTAGAGCAGTGGGTGACTAGTGATGCTGAATCAATCATTCGTTTCTCAGAGGCAGGCTTTGGCCCACGCGATTTCTTTCCCCTCCGAATGAAGATCCGCCAATATTTGACATGGCTTCTTGAGCGACATGTCGAAGAACTCAAAATCCAAGTCCCTCTCTCAACCTATGCGTACTGCATTGCAGACCCATATGGAATTCTCGGACCGGACGAAGTTCATTTCGGTTTCTCCAATGACTGGCGGGATCCACAGGGCCAGTTTGAAGACAACGTCCTGGATGGAGTAGATGTTCTCGTTGGCCGACTTCCAGCCCATTTACCATCTGATATTCAACGGCGCAGAGCTGTATGCAAGACTAAACTACGCCATTTTAAAGATGTGATTGTCTTTCCCACCACAGGGAATTTTCCTCTTGCCGGTATGCTATCCGGGGGAGATTACGATGGTGACACTCCGTGGATCTGCTGGGATCCCATGATTGTCGAGAGATTCCATAATTCCCCAATGCCCTCACATGAATATCCTGCGGAGTATTACGGGCTTACGAAACACTCCGTCCCGATGGCCTCGCTGAAGTCGACGGAAGACTTCTTGGAAAGCGTGTTCGATTTCAACCTCACCCTTTCAAACCTCGGTCGATGTACCGTCGAGCATGAGAAACTGGCATACGACGAGTCAGTCGACTCCCCAAAGGTGAAAGAGCTGGCCTGTCTCTTGGGTCATCTTGTGGATGGCCGGAAAGGTGGAGTTCATCTTTCAGAGGCAGCCTGGAAAGAATACCGCAAGACCATTAGCCCTAAGCAACGTGCGCTTCCCGCGTATCGAAACCCAGAGCGCAAGTTGAAACCGTCGAACATTGTCGACTACCTTAAGTTTAACGTCGCACAGTCGGAGCTTCGCAGAATTCTCTCGGGTCTTAATAAGACCTTCCCCGAGAACGATATCCAAAATCAACTTGATCATGACCTCCTTCGTCCGTGGAGCGAAACCGATGAAGCATCGAAGAGCAAGTCTGAGCACAGTCAAGAATTAAAAGACGCCCTCGTTGAACTTCGGAAGTCGATAGACGAACTATACAAGCAATGGAACCAAGGACATTCCGCTTCTACTGGCGACGAATTCTCTGCCATATCACGTCAGGCTGCCGAGAGTGCAGGTGCACTCGCTCCTCCCCACGCGGGCAGACATCCGCTCATCCACACTTGGCAAAACAGCCATAATGAGTGGCGACGGTTAGTAGCTTCGTACGCCTATCGTCGATGTCCAAACTCCCGTTTTATTCTTCACGCCTTCGGCGAGACATTGTGCGAGATCAAGGCGTCTGTCTCGCCATCCCGCCTTGTCACTAATGAGGTGATCGCCTGCTACCGAGTGAATCAGAAAATGGTGGCACATCTCACAGCCAATGAATTGCCTGGGGATGAGAGCGACGATGCAGATGAGTATGAAGACGGAGAAGCCATTGAAGCCATGCTATCCTTTTAGGAGGGAAGGACAAGTTGTCCATCGAATGAGGTACGAATGGTGCCAACAACGACCTTGCATTTTATTTCCCACCTTGATTCTGAGCGATACTTTCTTGCCTGTGACTGTTGAACATAGCGTGAGATACTCTGTGGATACCCTGTCATTTTGCATATGTTAGAGTTGATAGATAGCTCCGATCACATGTTGTCACTAAAGATAGAGTACTTTCAACGAATTAAGCCATCAGACTTTTGCCTAAATACTGCAGAGAAAGTTCATCCTAGTCCCCAAATGTCAACTGCTAGAATGCCCCCACATCACACATGCCGAGCTCAAGAGCCGAAACAGGTAGTATATGGCCCAACAAATATAAGATTCGGATTATAAATTGATAGGAAAAATTATATTTGGGCTGTGTCCAGTATTAAATTACATTTAAGGCCTTCACCGAAAGCGGGCTCGTAAGTACATCTCATACCAGTAACAGGCCAAAGATCAATACATCACTTTCCTGTATATAGGCATGTGATAGTACGGAGCAAGGTCTTCCGGTGCACATTATGCATACAACGTACGGAACAGAGAAAAGAGAGAGGTGCAGCCGGCGCAGCGAACCAAACAGAATGCATAATTAGAATTGCAACGTCTGGTTCGTGGAGAAAATATGTCAAGGTTCAAGACAATCAGTCGTTCTCGTATTCGATCTACAACATAGCACACATCCTAGCGCATGTTGGGGTACATGCACACAGAGGTAAAAATGGAACATAGGGAAATGAGGGGCCTAGCCTAGGAGGGGTTCATAGTGCCTTCTTTCGGGATCATAGAGGTTCTCTGTGGGATTGTAACGCCCGTATAATACTATGGTTGCTATGTGCGTACATCATACATGGGCGGAATAGGAATTGCCTACTAAAATTCCCTATAGCCAGTCGCGTTCGCAACATCGTACGTAGGGCACAATTATCGGCAACTTCAGACTTTTCATTCCAAATCAAAGTTGAATAATCATTTTGTAATCATTTTCGGGTAAGATCGAAGTTCCAAGAGGAGTTTGTTGGGGCGAGGGACAACTGTATGTTTGACATGTGATGAGGAAAGGTACATTGGCTGCCATAGTGTAACGTATGGCTGAGCAGGTACCGTTGGAATGTGATTACCTCACTCCCCTTCTTCCTTCCTGATTGGGACTAGTGGCTAAGTGACACTTTTTCACGTGAAAGATACGATGCGAAACTCCGACATCTTTGGGTTCATTGCTCTCCCTCTCTATGGACGATCTGTGACCCGCCATGGAACCCCCAAAAACCGCTAGGCCAAAACTACATGCCGGAAAGATTAACACCGCAGGTCTGACCTCGACCAATTCGCTCCCCACCACGCTTACAAGTAACCTCGCCCCATCACTTACGGCTCCGCCTTATCATAATGCTCCATCCGTGATGGATGTCGATAAAGCAGAAGATCGATCTCGTCGAGCTGCCAGTGTATTATCGATGGATGATCTCGAAGCCGCGCAAGCCCTGGAGGGGCTTCGCTCCGGTACGTGGCTCTGATATCCCGAACCAGCCCACTAAAAGTGTCGCAACTGCGGTTTTTCGCTGGATTCGGATGGCTGTGCGACGGACATTCAACTAATTTCAACAACAGATTTCGGACAATCGCCTCGAACAGCGAGACAATCCCTTCCCATCACTTCACCGGACCCCCCGCCGCCAGAGCCATTATTGTCTCTGCTAACCTCTTCCCATCCACTTATCTCCTCTGCCATCAACGGCTCAGTTTCTGCCTACGCCACGTCGAAATCATACTCACCGCGGTTCAAGTCTGGTGCTGAGTTCATCGAGCGCAATATCGGATCACCTGTCGCGAACACCGTTGGTACGGTAGGCCGCAAGACTGGTGTCGAGAGCGGCCTCCGTTGGGCTCTGCAGCGACGAGATTCTACAAGCGAAGGTCCAAAACACACCAGCAAGCGACGAAAGATGGATGGAGATGTGTCGCCGAGAACGATGAATGCGGAGAAGGGACCGGACGGTTCGGCTCACCCACCGCGAAGACGGAGCTCGTCCGATCTCTCCATGGCCGAGTCGCTTCCCCCGTACGACGAAATGAGATCTCCTCACTATGAAGAGAAGCCAGGGAGACGTACTGAGGCGACGTGGCAAAGCCGACTAGTTATTTCGACTTCTGGACTCGGAGTCGCCATGAGTGAGGAGTCGCTGCGTAGTCTGCAATATTGTCTGACTTGGCTTCGATGGGCGAATGGTCGATTAGGCAAATCCATTGTAGCATTGCATAGTGCTGTCAACGAGTGGGAAGCCCACAAATCACGGTCACAGTCGGATATCGAGGCAGGAGGCAGCGGCCAAGAAAATGCATCGTTGCTTACCCAGCGCATCCAAGCTGTCAAGGCCGACGTGCTATCGACCTTGAAACAGGTAGTTGATGTGGTTTCCAAGTATGCAGGAGGCGCCCTGCCAGAGAATGCCCGCCATCTAGTGCGTCGACACCTGACGTCTCTGCCGCACCGCTTCCAGGTCGCATCCACATCGCAGCCACCACCAGACTCCCCAGCTGCCTCCTCCGATGCCACGATCAGTGCTCATCGCATCTTGGTGTTGGCGCAAGAGGGTCTAGACATGATGGCGCAAGTCAGCGGCGTCGTCAATGACACATTGGTCAGTGCTGAGCACTGGTGCGAGCGGCTTGGCCGGAAACGACCCGAGGGCGGAGCTTCTTCCGACATGCCAGAGAAGCAAGGCGAATCTTCTTCCAACGCTCAACCGTACGGCGTGGATATCAAGCAATCCCTCCCAGAGAATGCAATCCAGGACGACGTCCCGATGTCCGGGATGGAGAAGGTATGACGTTGTCCAAGAGCTTTCTTTCACTCGTCTCTCTTGACATATTTTCAATTTCTGTCACTTCTTGCCTTCTATCTCGGCAGTCCTCTTATGTCTCCTCTGAGGTCTTCTTTTCTTTTTCTTATGATTGATATCCTTTCTGTTATCTTCATTCCATCTGGAGTGATAGGAAAACTCCCGGGAATTATGGTGTTTCTTTAAGCGTGCAATTGTTTTTTATTTCGGACGGGCTCGGTCATCCTGCTGTTATAGTTATGGATGTTATGGTTTCGGTATAGATACGCAAGAGGCTGCGCACTCAAGCTGAATGAATGCAGGCTATTCATCGATTTACACTTGAAATTTTCAGAAGATCCCTGTAGGCGATCTAAATCCTGCCCAGGTGTCGACCATATGTTTTCTGATTGTACCGGCCCCGGACTGTCAACATGCTCAAGAAGGTCGTCGTTCCCATGGAGCCACAGCTGTGTTTGCCTTTCCGTTCTAAACTCCGTTGAATGCCGTGTCATATCATATCATTTTCAGCTTATCCACAGTGGCTCTTCGACCGAGAGACTGAGTCACCCCCACACTAATGGCTCGAAGGCCACCAATACTCTGAAGAACACACCAGGACACCAGCTAATAGTCGAGCAACGTTTCACTGTTGACATACAATGTGTCATGGGTGCTTCTGAAGCCATTGAACTGAGTAGCAGTGGTACTTGTATATGCTGGAACTCGGTCAGTTCTGTTGAAATTGCAAGTATAAAATGGCAATACTCACCTCCCATGTTTTTATATTTGAGCCAATCTCCAACCTTGACTTCTGAATCAAGCGTCACCTCGCGCACAACACAATCGGTGCTGTCACATGTAGGTCCCCAGATCGAGTACCGATGATGTTCTGTTACTTGCAAACCATCCCCTGATTTTGGTTTGTGCAATAGACTCCTGGCCTTGTTACTCTTGAGCAAATAAGGAACCATGATCTCTTTCTCCATAATCACATTCATGAAATTCCCGTATACGCCATCGTTTTGATAAAGCATGTCTGGAACACCCGATAGAGCAGCACTCCCAAGCTGACGACGACGCGAAATCACTCGACATACAAGAGTATACACACTACGAGCAAAAAACCGACCTGGTTCTGCGATCGTTGTGATACCAGCTGGAAACTCCGACCGAATCGCGTCTCGAATAATGGGAGCCATAGACTCAAAACAATCGTCTTGAAAGCCGCCGCCGATATCGAGAATCTTGGGGTGGAAACCTAGACGTTCAGCTTGTGAAAACGCCAGACGTGCATCTTTGATGGCCTTGCAAAATGATGCTGGGTTGGTAGCACCCGTCCCTACAGTTCCTAACGGTCAATAAAGCTGACCAGGTATAACATCCGAAGTACCGCAAATGCTTACCAACATGAAAGCTGACACCAATTACATTCAGTCCAAGCTCCCAAGCTCTTGAAAGTAACTCCTCAGTCGTATCCAACTGCGCTCCAAACTTTTCGCCCAGACAAATGAAAGCACTCTCGTCATTGGCATAGATCCGAAGTAGCAGCTGAGCTTCTGGCATGTGTGCCTTGATGGTATCCAATTCGTCGATATTGTCGAATGTCGTTCGCAAGATGCCTACCTCGCGTGCGAAAGCTACGGCGGCGGGTGCTTTGCAAGGATTGGCGAACAGAATCCGGGCTGGATCCACGCCGAGGCTGAGAACTGCGCGCATCTCTTCAATGGAAGCGCAGTCAAACCCTGTCCCTAATTCTGCAAGAATTTTGAGGAAGCTTGGGTCACAATTGCATTTAACGGCTGTGAAAGAAAAGGTTACTTCTTTCTATTCCGAAAATGGGAAACATAATAGCAAAAGAGTGTCGTACCATAATACGGTCGTATACCTGGCATATTCTGGGTCCAACGACCATGCTGTCGAATTATCTGGCCCAGATCGGCGATGAAGAATGATTCATCCCCACCAACCAGAGAACTTTTGACTATACGGGCAATGTGACTCTCAATTGCGAGATCAACTAGCTCATCTGGTGGGAGATTTCGATATCCGGCATGTGTGACTTTGCCGGTCACAGCTTCACTAGGGCCAGGGAGGAGAGCCATGATTGGGGAGAGTAGTCGATCGAGAATAACTGGGGAAAATGGATAGTTCTGTAACTGAAACAGCATTACAGAACATATGTCGGACTATAATACAAAGCCCTGGAGTATATATGTCCTTTTTAGAGTGATGTACTATGCTCTTCAGTGAACACCCAGTATATTTAAGAGGCTTGAATGGACTGAATGAAGAAAAGCCATTAGAAGACGAGTTTGCTTTGCACGCAATTGAAACTCTGCATTACGTTGGATCTCACAGAAAGGAATAAGCAATAAGTCGCACGGGATAAAGGCCTCACTTCCCCAGTTAACTTGTGAGAGAGCCAATTGGAGCAAGTTGACGTGTGTTTCTAGCCTTACGTTATATATGCACGGGACGAAGATCAATAGAGGCAATTCTGCATGATTGGGTATGAAGCCATATAAGCGCTCAGCTCAATAGTTTTTATGTGGAGTGAGGGGAGCTGAATGCAAGTAGAGTAACATCAGAGTACAAGGTTATATATCTACGAGATTCCCAGTGTTAAACTAATACTAAATGAACTTCTCCGTATGTCTCTGAAATGGACAGATCAATACTTTTTGTCATAGAAATTCAATTCCGGTTTCGACATACAGGAACCACTTCACTTCCAGAGGTGATGCATCTAATGGGGCGTAGCTGAACTACAAATGTCCATCTGAAGCCTATTATTTTGGAGTGTTTTTTTTTTTTTTAGTACTCCCTAGATCATCGCCACTATGGTCTCGACGCTTTGACTGGATGTATCGGTTTTGTCGGGCAATTATACTGTTACACTTCGGAGGCATGTCGAACTTGGGAGGCCTTAAGCTCTCTAGGATTTATTCATGTATTTGCTTCTTTCAAGCGGATTAAGATCTACCTCGCTGTGACCTATGACCTTTGACCTCTGGGGGAGTCAGTTCTCTATACAGAGTAGGGTGTATATAATATATGACATTGGAATCCCAACTGGGAGCTTCCTCCCCGAAGGTCTTGGTTTCACGGACTAGTCAGAGTCAGAATAACCGGGTGGTGGTATATCCAAGTCCAAATATATGTCCAATAGCTTATATCAAGTGAAATCTCTGAGTAAGAATTGGTTCCCAGATCTAAATATGTATGCAGGTTGACACAGCTTTGAAAACTGATCTTATTTTTTGATTGACTGGAAATCCAAGTGCTCTCCTCCACAATGCCACGTCCTTGACCGCTATAGACTCTCACATTGACTACATGGAACTTCCTGTGTTAAGTGCTAATGAACCTTCCATTGGTTCTCACTTCTCACTTTATTGCAGAACCTGCTGAGTGACGCAGTGAAGCACCCCACCAGTAAGGGGAATGGCGTTGGCATACACTTGCCGAATCACCCGCTCAGGGAGCAACGCCTGAAACATTTCCAGAGCCTTTTGATCCCTTTCCTCGTCACCGAATTTAGGGATTATCAGTCCCCCATTAACAAAATAGAAATTCACGTAACTTGCCGATAGCTCGTCGTGATCTGACTTCACCAAGCCGCGTGGGTCGGGTTCTTCGATGGTGTGGATCTGCAGGCGCCGACCCTTAGCGTCTGTCTCACGGTCCAGAATCTCCCGAATCTCCATAGACAGCTCCTGCCACAGGTCAATCGCAATGGCATGAGGCTTTGAGTAAGCGATGACACCAGGGCACACGAATCTCGCCTCAGCGTCCATATGCACGTCGGTAATGTCGACATTGCGCCGCCCAGGGAACCAAATCACTTTTTCAATCCCGAGCAGCCGCTTCAATTCAATCTCGATCTCGGCCTTGGACATCCCTGGGTTGCGCACATCACATATAATGCTACTCTCCGTGATAAGCAGGGTTCCTTCGCCGTCGGTAACGAGACCGCCACCCTCGGCGCGAATCGGAGTCTCGATCTGCGTAACAGGGCTGGGCTCGCGGTCGTGCTCGATTACCCACCGCGCAAAATCCGCGTTTTCATGTAGCGCCTTCTCGTTCATCAACGGCCATTGCTGGCCCCAGCAGATTCCGTCGTCTTCGGGTTTCTTCCCGCCCCATTCATTGAACCGGAAGTTGATTGCAAAGCGGCGATTCGGAAATGCGCCTGTCATGTCGCGCACGTAGACGGGGCCTGTGTCGCGTACCCAGCAGTGGTTGATTGGACATGGGATAATAGATATCTTTGATGCGTCTTCCACAAACGTCTTGACTAGGGACTCGGCCGATTGGATTTCTTCGGGCCTCACGTACAGCCGAACTGGTTCGAATTCGGTGATCGCTGCCGCTAGTTGAGCTAATTCATTGCACATAGCATCATACTGATCGGGGGGTAGAGAACATCGAGATGGTAACCCCATGATTGTCGCTTCATGGGGTTCTGACTCTGCTGGGAAGATGTAGCTGCCTTGCACTTTAATTTCATCGCTGGTATGAGAGGGGTGGAGCCAGGTACGTGTGGTTGTATAGAGGTTTGACAGCAACTTGCTGAATCGCTCGAAAAGCTTCATGTTGATAGTCCGTGGATTCTCGCCCTTCTCATGTCAAGGAATTTCTCTCCTTAAAAGGTGCAATTCGGTTGCTTAGTCCTCATTATATATCATCATGGTGTAACTATGACTGCTTCGACGTTACTCACAGTCGTCAAGTTGTGTTCTTGGTACGAAGTGGTATTTCCCCATTGAATCACCCGACAGCATGTGGAGTCATGTGTATCTGACTGATTTACATTCACTGAAACGAAAGGATACTAAATATATCTAATGTCACTCGTGGTCTCAAAACAATGCATAAAAATCCAGGTCTGTGTGCTACTATATACAGCCTAACGCATCCTACTCCGTCAACAGAGGTTCACGTTCCATCTCTCCATCGGCAGACTCAGTCCAAGAGACTTCTTCCATAGGACCGCTGAGCCATAACATAGGCACAGCAGTAACCGCAGAAAGAATCCCCAAAGCAAGAGTCATAACTTTCCAACCGTATTGGAACTCCACAAATCCACCTACCATTGGTCCTAATGCCAACCCGCCAAAATGTGCCATATTCTCTAAACTAAAAGCTTGAGCCACGGCACCTCCACCCCCGAAGACCCCAGGGTCTTCGGCTTCCATGTCATCCAGGACACGCTGCATCTCCACTATCAAGGCGGGCTCGCTTGAGTCGATGCACATTCCAATAAGACCCAGAATGACACAAAGAAGACCTATGTGGAATGGTGAGTTCTCCTCGACAAAGCGAAGACAGACCAGCGACGGGGCTAGAATGGCAAAGCTTGCGAATGCAATCACCCTCGATCCAAGACGGTCAGATAAAAAGCCTAAAAAAGCAGGTCAGGATCATGCAATAGAGAATGGTGATGTGATGTCGGTGTACCAAAAAAGGGTTCGAAAATAGCCGCCGCAGCACCTGGCAAGAATATCAGACCTGCGCCTAGAACACTCCATTGGAAGGTGTTCTCTACAAAGACCGGGAGGGTCTGTATCGGAGTGTCAGTGCAATTCCAATATAAAAAGAGTGAAGTCCATACCGCATCGAATGCCGAGACCACAAGGGCCCCAACTGTAACTGCACAGAGGCTAATAAGAATCCGTGGCTGCTTTACAAGCACGCCCAGCGCAAACGTAGTCTTAGAAATTTCCGTGGCAGTATGAGGGCTGGTAGGTGGAGTCATCAGAGTTCCGTATGGCGGCCGCTCGGGGATATAGCCATTCTCCTGACTTGGTCGCTCGCCATCAGTGAGACACAGCCAACGTTCAGCAGTCCTCTTCTCGACGACAGCGAGTCTAAGAAAGAAGTCAAGAGCAACGATTCCGAAAGCCATGCCAAAAATAGCATAGAATCCTCCAATTTGGTAAAGCAGTCCGCCCAGTAGTGGACCACACATAAATCCCAGTGTCGTAGCGGTGCCCAGATATCCAATCATTTGTCCAAGACTCGCTCTATCTACTGCATCAGTCACAATTGCAAGACCAGCTACCGAAACCATGGCCGTTGCTGCGCCTTGGAAGACTCTGGCGATGATATACCATTTCACTGAGTGTGAAGTTGACAAGACGAGCATAGATGCAAACAATAGCACGAGTCCAGATAGATATGGGCCCTGGCGTGTTCCGGAGACGTCTAGCATGTATCCAAATATCGGACAGCATGTAAGTGCTGAGACGGCTTCAGAGATGAGGAGGACGATGTTCCAATACTCTCCTATCAAAAGAGATAGTTATTAGTAAATGAGTACCTACCTTCGTAGATCATTCGTACTATCTTCGAATGCTACTCCAGCTCGTGAAACTAATGCCTGAGGCATGACGGGGACAATCTGCAGCAGCCCTGGAGTCAGATAAGGATCAAAGTTCCTAGTCAGAACATGTGTACCATAGCATAGAGAAAGAGATCCTAGATGGAATTTGATTAGCTAGAGCTTACTTTTTCTGGGTATCAGAGCAGGGAGGATACCGTGAACATTGACAGAGAAATCGTCGTCACTATGAAGGATTGTGACGACCTCAGCGGCAACAGCCATGGTCGCTGGTCGCAAAATGGCTTCGACCAAGCCATCATCTGTGGCCCGATTCAACCACCCGTGGGGATATTTCTGACGTTGAAGAGAATGGTTCGACTCGAAAAGTCGTCGGTGGGCTTGTTCTGCTTAATTTTTCCTTTTTCTGTATTCAGTCCAAGATTTGATCTGCATTAGCGGCCACAATTCGGTAAGGATTCTCGTTGAGAGGTACGCATATGGATTCGGCAACGAACATAGATAACTACCTATTATCAACCTCAAATGTTGAAGCAAATCGTCACAATGGAAATGGCCGTACTTCCAAGACAATAGAAATAGTATAATAGAATACATTTCAAAAGGGAAATCAGAATCCCGGGTCGGACAGATGGCTTGATAAGTCTCTACGAAGTCTGTGCAACGTAGAGCCAAAGGTCAGATGCCTGGTTTTCAGTGTTGTTGCCTGAAGTATGAAACGTCCTGTCCTGAATCATGTAACTAACTGGTCCGCATGTGATATCCTGCATCATCAGTCATAAACTCCAGATATTCTGCGAGACACTTCATTCCTCAAGCGGTGCATCGGGCTGCCACGTCTCAAGCTTTATCAACTTCCCCTGGATAATCTACATACGGGCTTGGTTCCCAGTCCTCCTCTTCGCCTTTCTCGATCATCTCCTCTACCTCCTCCACGCAGCTACAAACGAAGTCCCGCACAGAGTCCCAGTGACGGATTCCACTCCCTGACCAAGATGCCCAATGCCAGTACTGATACTCGCCGTCTTTGACTTCTTTTCCCGCCCGCATCCTACCCTCCTTCCAATACCTAGGCGGAACAATGAAATGTTCGAACGAATCGCATTCGGTGGCGGGCTCAAGTTGAATCATCTCGTAATCGATGTCTCCCAGCTCATCATAGTAATGCTCATAGCCAACTTCTGTATAGCGGCCTCCCTCTGTGGTGACAGATCGAATTCCCGCTATACCACCTGCGAAAAAATGCCAGCCACCCTTGAATCTAAATAATCTAGTCAGTCATGGCTTCTCCTTCATAAGATTCTTTTCCGCAGGGGCTTGGGGTTGCAATACTTACCCGTTCGCCAATCGAACCATCTCCTTGAAATCACCGGGCAACTCACCGACTTTCTCCTCCGCCGCTGCGATTTCCTCCTCAGAGGCAGGGTCATACAATATATCCTTGGCACTTTTCATGCCCATAGCCTGACACTCTTTGCGGTGGGCTTTCCATGCCCCCTCAGCAAGTCGATCCAACAACTCCCCCCATCCAACCTTGGATGGATGCAATGCCCACTGTCTCCCATGCTCGGCCCGTAGCTCCAGCGCAGCAGTTATCTCCCTCACCATAACTACTGCATCCTCTTTGGGTATGAAGAAAGGATTGCTTTCCTTCCCACCACGGGCTAGTAGAGGCAAGACATCGTAGATACCAGGCACCATCAAGAAGTCACTCAAGCCACCCCCATTAGTAAATAAATCCTGTCTTAGCCCTTGGCCAAGGACATCCGCCGCCGTTTGCAATTCACCCAAGCGAATCGCAAGCTCGACAACCAACCGCCGGTACAGTAAATATGACTGTCTTTTTGGCTTTTCGGGCCCCCAGCCACACTCTTCCCTCGGTGTATCCGGTTTCGCATAGAGCTTTTGCGCCACCTCGAGTGCTTCCCGTGCTAAATCGTCGGGTGGATAAGTACACGGGGTGGTTGTCTTAGCTAGCAGTCGCGCACACATCGCCAGCATGGCTGGGTCATCTGTTTCGCGCCAGGTAGAAGAGTGGCTCTCTGGCTCGGCAAGCCCAACGTGCTCCAGCATCCAGCCCGTGCGGGTACATTCCCGGTATTTACCCCATTGATGTTGGGGCAGCCAGGTTTCAGGGTCTTTCTGATGGGAGGGTGGTGCCCTCTTAGGTCGGGGGAAGGTTGATTGATTCACATTCCAAAAAACGTCTAGAGTGGAAGGCGTGCATATCTGTAAGGCAAGACGTTCGCCCTTGTCAGTGAATTGGAAATCTTTTACCAATGTATACACCGCAGAGGCAATCAAATGGGCCTCAGTGAGGTGGTTGGACAGGATCAGGAGTTCGGTTAGACGCAGGATTTCGCGAACGGCGTGTGAGAAATCCTCCCTGTCGATGTAAGACTTGATCAACCTTGCGAGTGTTGGTTGAGTCTCGGCTTCCCAGTCGTCTGTCCATTGGATAGACATGCCGTGCGGAGGTCCTAGTTATTCCAAGGTATGTTGAAATTGTGCTATAGGTTAATTCTACGAGCTCTGGAGATGTGGGCTTTTACGCTGAGTGACGATTGAGTTAGGTTTGCTCCATGCCCAGGCGGGTGCCTGGTGCTGCCAGATGCGGTTTAGTGGATACCGGACAGTTGAGGCTATCAAAATGACCTCGGGTTGATATACAGTGACTTCTACAATATATCGCCCGTCACGCTCGAAACAGGCTTGATGAGATAAAAATTCAAAAGTTTATGTATTAGGTGAGATATTATGACTTCTCAAAAGGATCACACAGCAAACGAAATAACAAGTGCAGGGACAAAGTACCCCACAGAGCTCCTGTAATTTTTCCATCGGGCACATCTGACTGACTCCGAAACGATGCGCTTACAGAATAGAGCCAAGGGCAACGCAAGGAAGACCGGCACCGACCAAGTCGTTGCTGGCGGTGGAGGGTGAGTTCGCGCAGCAAGCGATGTTCTGCTTGCACTGCTGGTTGAGGGCGTCCTGGACAGCGATACCGATGATAGGAACTGGAGCCAGGTGGTTAGTGAGGAACTGGGCCAAGATATTGGTTGAGAAAACTTACTCTGGGCGTCGAGCTTGGAGCACTGGTCGAAGACACCGAGACCCTTGGCACCAGAGCCGCTACCGACGAGGTTGGAGAGGGTGCCAGCAAGGATGCCCGAGTTGATGTCGGTGGTGTCACCGGCGTAGGTGGCGGTGTTGCAGCAAGAGAGCTGAGCCTGGTCACCACACTTGGCCGCAGCCTGCTCGACGGTCATGCTGTCGGGGACGGTGAAGCGAGGAGCACCGTGCTGCTGCTGGAGACCATTGTTCATGTTCTCAGCTGGCATGGCAGCGGCAAGGCCAGCAAAGGCGAGGACAACAGTGGAGAGAGTGAACTGCATCTTGAAGGTAGAGTATTGAAAGATTAAAATCTTGTATATAAGAATGAGTTTGGAAGGTTTGGAGGATAGAAGGTAGAGAGAAGCAGAGAAGTAGAGAAGTAGAGAGCTGATAGATAAAAGAGAATACAGAGGACGAGCCTTTTATCTTCAAGTCACAGTGCTTGGGCACGAGGTGATCTGCCAGTGTTCATGGTGAAGGCCAAAAACAACACTCCCATTTTTGCTGGTGGAATGTACTACGCAAGGGTTTAGTTCCGAACTTGCCTCGATGGTCTCTACCTCCTAGCAATATTATTGGCTCTTCCCTTGATTCCGGAATTTTGTTAATCAATGAGATGTTCCCCCTTCCTGGTGATGCATGGGCCCTGCATTCCGCCCTGTCGACGGTATCTGTCAAGGCTACCCTATTACCCTGATCTAGTTCTGGGACGTCCGAATTTGGGCTTACATACTTTCAAACCTTGTGAGACTCACATGGTTCCCTGATTAAACGAGGACCGATCATACACATACGTTGTTAAACCAGATATCCCGATTCAGGGTCCTTCTAGAAGTGATCAGGGTGTGGACAGCCCCTACCCCCATCCCCGAAGAATTCCCTGCAGTTTCAACACCGCACAAAAATGTGACCGTTCGATTACTGCATCGCTAAATAGCATGCCTTGGGGGCGCTTTGAGGCGTTTAGGGGCGCCCTGATGGCAAAAATTGTCCGATACCATGCATCTCATTTTCATTATCATGATTTGGGTCTTTGTGGCGCCCTCTACATCACTGCCTCTTTGCACTCGTACATACATTATAGTAACGGCCCTGTTAAATTACTGTCCCTTATCCATATTCGGATCCACCATCCTCCTATCTCTCAATCCTAGGGAATTTGAGATTGCCCGGACCCATGTCGATCCTGGTCAATTCAGATTTTCCACCCTGCTCCCAGGCATAGCATGTGATGTTACGACGGGCAACCGATGATCTACACTCTCATTTCTCGATGCAAAATCAAAGCTCACAGGGGCTGGGTGTTGGTGTTTGTTGAAACTACAATATATGGGCCTTCAGCATGTTCTCTTGGTCGGGCTTGGTCTAGACCGAACGTTTCCAGGTCCGATAATTACAAGGTGATGAGATTCCAAGTGAGATCCTAACGTTTACTTGGTATTTGCAAGGAACCGGATTGTATGCTGTAACCGGTTTAGTCGTAAAGAGTAGCTCGAACAGTACTTTGTCTTAACTGCACTACGGCTATCCCGTCTTGTCTGGTGTCTGCCTACGATGTATGTATATTGTATGAAAAAAGAAATCTAGTTAGAGGAATGCACAGTCACACAGAACGCAGATCAGATTACTAGACTTGGTGGTTCTTTACTGCTTGTCACTTAGGTTTAGACCTAGAGCCTGGTAATTGTTGGTGAATCTCATACTCGGGAGCATATATCGCTTAGTTCCTAGGGTTTCTGTAAATATGAATTCAAACACTGTAATCTGATAGGATACTGAATAACCAGTAATTGAATAGTTGAAATGATTCCTATATTTATGGTGTGCTACAGTGTCGACGTAACTAGATATATATCTCGAACAAAATGCCGAAAGCATAGATATTATTCCACCCACATCCAACTATTTAAATAGCACATGCTTACTTGAAAGATTAAAATGCAGCGCTTATTTCTCTTCTTATATTTCCAACAATCCAGCTCGTTAACGATTGAGGTTCAATGGAGCAGCAGTTCGCCCGGTTCGGTGAGTTGTTCGTCCGCCACTAAATCACATTCGGCCTAGTGTACGCCAGTTGTCTCGGGCTTAGACTACACGGCCACACTCTTCCTAGATATGTTGTAGGCGTCCACTCTAACCTCACTTTGCTGTTGCGCTCAATCGGAGGCGGATAGATATTGAAGGGTCAATATGAGTCCGCCGAAAGAATGGTATAAACCGATCACTAGTATAAAGGATTCTTGAATCCTTAGGGTTCTGTCCTCACCATCAAAATCCATTTCGAGGTCTGCAATACAAGCAAACCTCAAGCTCCAATCGACAATCAACAATCTTAAGTCCAAAATCTAAACACCAATGCTCAAATGACGACCATCGCCTTCTTCGGAGCAACCGGCGGCTGTTCCAACGCCTGCTTGACCTACACCCTTCTCAACGGCTACAACGCCAGAGCCCTAGCCCGCACGCCCGCAAAACTCACGGCGCTGCTCCTTTCGCAGCCTGGCATAACACCAGAGATTCTCTCTCGTCAGCTCGAGATAATCGAAGGCGACGCAACAGATATAGAAAGCATCACGAATACCCTCATCACCAACTCCAACCCCGAGAGCGCAGCCAATGGCGCTTGCACTCTTGTCACAAGCATCATTTCCGGCCTAGGCGGGGCACCAACAATGTCCTTCACCAAGGAATCGAAGTGTGGAACGATTCAGATGCGCATGCCTGCGCTGCCGCACATTCAGCTCTCGAACCCGCATATCACGGAACAAACGACACGTACGCTACTGGCAGCACTGGCGAAGATTGCTTCTGAGCGGTTTGCTTCGTTCGAGGCATATCGGCAGGTCGCACCAAGGGTCACTGTGATCTCGACGACGGGGCATTTGCCTGGTAATAAAGATGTGCCGTTCTGGTTCAGACCTATGTACTCTGTGCTCTTGCCGATCCCGCATGCGGATAAGCTGCAGATGGAGAAATTGCTTGATAAGGAGGTCGGGCTGGGGCATGCTGGGGTGCTTGCTGCTGGAGTTGTTGTTGTGAGGCCCAGCTTTTTGACGGGGGATCATCGGGTCCCTGTCTGTCAGGGGGATGAAGGGGGTGAAAGGCCGGGACTGGAGAAAGTGAGGGTTGGGACGGAGAGGGATCCTGCTATTGGGTATACGATTTCACGGGCTCTGGTTGGTGAGTGGATCTTTGAGGAGATTGTTAAGAGTGGTGGAGGGAGATGGGTTGGGGAGAAGGTCACTATCACTACTTGAGGTTCTGGCCCTCTCTTAGTTTTATGAGATTCATACATTTTGCATTGTGAGAGATTGGTCACATCATTCGTATCGACATTGAAAAAGTGGCTGGAATGTTTCACTTATTTTACATTAAGCACTCAGATGATCAGTCGTATTCAAAGATCAACCATATGTACCCAAAATCACAAGCCACTGGGTTGTATCAGCCAAAAAAACGCCACCGCAGGCCAGAAGACAAAAACACAGAAAGCAAAAGCCATCCCTATATGAGATCCAGCGAACTCCGTCGCTAGCATATATACCAACGACCAAAAACAGCATTATTAACATCTGATGATCTGTACAGGCGGGCCAAAATTAAAGAAACGCTATGATGCAGCTGAACCAGCGTCCATAGTGCCCATGTCATGACGTTCGTAAGTGAGAACATGGAAATTGGTATGATCAGGTGCCGCCATTCAAGTACCGCCAGACGGCACTGGGCGGGCGATTTGAGAACTAGAGCGGTCAATTTGGGCGCTGGACCGCTCAATCTGAGCACTGCGGCGCTCCTCCTTGATCTTCTTCTTTTCCATCTTCTTCATGGCTTCTTCGGTCAGCTGTTGGCGGAACAGCCGTTCGACAACATCCTTCTTTCGGGTTCGCCGATCACCAATCATGATCATCACACCGCCCGCGATGTTACAGGTGATGGAGCAGCAAAGGATAACCGTCGTCAGCGCGAATGGGCGCTTATGAGGGTCCTCCATGCTCCAGGTACAGGCACCAAGGGCCATTTGGAGCAAAGAATGACAGTCAAGGATGACGACAATAGCGATGAGTAAGCGTAGAGGGAAGGCGTGGTGGGTCATGGTTTCGTGCGGCTTATAGAAAGTATGCGACTTTGCGAACTTATTCTGGTGATGCATCAATCGTAACTGTTGGCGAGCATCGAGAACAGAGAATTCGTGTTCGCCTTCCTTGACCGTGTCACCAAATTCAACGTCGACGTCTTTCTCTGGCTTTGACGGAAGGTCATTCTTGTCTTTGAGGCCTGGTAGGGCCCGCTTTCGACGAACCTTCCACGACGTGAATGTATAATGGGCAATGAAACTCATGTGATATGTATCGACAGCGCGGAAAGGAGCCAGTCCATCACCCATGATGGCGAACAGGGCAACCAAAACGTTATCTATGACATTGATAACATAAGTTTGTTTTCCACCGACATTGATCCAACCTGAAGTGGCTGTTAGCATACTAGCTAGAAAATATTAGGCCAAAAGATCTCACCAATCAAGAAAAGAACCCAGGCCAGACCGAACAGGGTGATCAAAGTCGCGTAGAGAGTTACAAGAAAGCCGAGGGCTAGGCGGGATTAGATTAGTATTAAGCAAAAATTATCGCAGCGGGAGTATCACTCACGCTTCCGTACGTATTGCCTAAATCCTTTCATGGACCGTTTGAACTTGGACCGCCGAGAGTGAAGCATATGTCGAACATGGTCATTTAGTTCGGCATAGTCTTCTCTTGTCCATCCTTCAAGCCCCTGCCCTTCTGGGAGAACGGCATACTTTGGACCACGCAACGAGGATATACTCGTGAATGTGCGGAGTTCTTCCAAAGTCGGCCGCCCTCTGGTCTTGTCACGATCGGACGGTTCACCCTCGTCCGTTGTGATTCCCTGTTCCTCATCTGAAGAATATTGCGGTCGTGTAATCGTATAGGTGGGCGTGCGATTGATGAACGCACCCAGATTCGGCACAAAGAGAGAGTTTTGGACATTGGTGAGAGTGGAAAGGGCAGATACCTCGGGGTCTAGATTCGGAAGTTAAAATTATGGTTTTTGTATCACACTTGACACCAGTGCTCACCGATCACGTCCAGCACGTCGACCACATGAGATCCATACTCATTCTGGCGTTGCTCCTCCTGTGTGTCCAGAGTCGGTGCAGCTCCTGTCACTGTGCTTGCACGGTTTCGAGTAAAGCGATTCAACGCAGCTTGACTAGTTCGCCGAAGCCGACCCGGCGGTCGTGCCAGTGCGGCAGGGATCTCGCCTTGCTCCGGATCAAGTTGCTCACAGTCGGACTGAGTCGCTTGACCGGGCAATATTGCTGCTGGAGGTGGGGGTGCCGGACTTCGGTGTGAGGATTCCTCAGTCACAGGCATCATTCGCATGGGAGTCGCCACTCGCGAAAGGGAATCAGGAGGGGGAGATGACCATCGTCCCCGATTTGGCTCTGAGTTGCTGCGCCGTCGCCCTGCCAGCCACGCTTCGTCCTCTTCATTAGGGGGAGGGGATCGGATAGCCCGCGGCTCGAAGGACGGTGGTTGATTCTCTGGTTGAGACCCTGGTTGATTGGCGTTGCCAAGTGAAGAGATAGATGGGAAGCGAGACAAGCGAATACTCGGTCGTCGCGTGCGTGAGTCGCCCCGAGTGCGCAACGGGGTAGGATCTGCTGGCCTGACGGGGCTGGACTCTGTGGGTTGCCCTGTGGGTTGGGTCCCTTGAGGGTTCCCATTGGGGGCGTTGGGGTCCTCGACCGGGTCGATGCGATCCATATTGCTGGAGCGACGAGTTCCGGGGGGTTGGGGACAAGATCGCGCACTATACAAATAGCCCCGAGACCAAGACAAAAATATAAGTTAACCAAGGACCTGCAACTCCCCCGGTTTGGTCCACATGGAAAGCCGTCCTGGACGTTCTGGATCTCTGGCCCCGGGCTGGTTAAATGCTGACTCAGCTCTTCCCGAATCTTGTTTTTGCCAGTGACGAGCCGGTGGAGCTCACAGTCGTCGATATTACGCTAACCGTCGATCTTCATGAGTTGTTCTGCATTCCGGGGTTTCTATTGTGCTCTCTTTTTCTGTTAAGGGGTCTCTTTTCAAAGAAATTCAGTTCAATTGTATATCTACTCCGCACAGTGGCAAGTCCTGACTTTGGCCAATTAAACTCCTCAAATAGGCTCGTGCTGTACCAAGCTTTTATGTACGTCGAGATATCTATACAATAGTATTATCGGACTCACTGAACCCCATATAGATCTACATTGTACGTTAGACATATCGTACGTGGCTCTGATGATTAACAGTGTTTAGATCATAGAAAATTAGATTAATTTATTCTACGGTTATTCTAGGGTTTATGGATTATTTAATATATTATTGTGTCAAGGAGACCCGGGGTCTATGTCAGTCCAATTGTGAAGCTTCTGGTCAAATAGATATTTCTTAATGCCAAATCCAATACATACTGAGACAAGGATCTTTTGGTTGACTCTTCAATGTACAGAAAAGCGAATCTTTGTGCCACTAAAATAGACCGAATCTGTCCGTGAAGGATTTTGACCTTGAGCTGGTCAATGTCTTTGAAATATAGCACTACAGTTTCGCAGACCGAGTAGATAGGAATTATCTGACAGAGATGTACCCAAGGACAATACATTTAGTTCTAAATCTGAGCTCACGTTGAGCAGGGATTTCTTGTTAGACGAGTGTGATATTGTGAAAGGCTGCGTGTCATCCGTGTAGCCTGGTCTAAGATTTTGTATTCATAACCGAATAATTTTAGTTAAATATCAAAGTTAGGAAGGAGTACGGAGTAGACAATTGTATATCCATGCCTTCTATTTTGTACAACGTACTCTGAAGGCGTGCAGAATGAAGCGGAGATAAATAAGATGGGGGATTTGATTATTTATAGGACATATCACACGGGTATATGCACATGTGCAGAGTTTGGATGATATGCAGATGAGATGTGCAGAGCAGAAGGAGAATTGAATAGAAATAGAGTGGAATAATATACTTACGGAGTCGAGAAGTTGGGAACGGATCACAATTGGTTCAACAGGTATCCAGAATGACATCAGGCCAGCTGTTCTGAGTCAGACTTTCAAGTAAGGCGGGGCTGGGGAAAAGCCTGAGGAAAGAGCTCGGGAGTATATGGGGTTTAGAGCCTAAAATTAGGGGTGAGTTTTGGGCTAGATAGGGGCTAGGTAGGGGCTGGTTAGGGGCTGGCTAGGGCGGTGAGCCCCAATGGAGGAAAGTACCTCGATCGCACCTGTCCCGTCATTTCAAGCTCTAACTGGGCTAGTGCTACACCGCCTCTCCTTTCCCTTTCCATCTCCTTCTCCCATCCTCCTCCTCCCTCTCTTCAAGATCCAGTGCATCAAAACTTCAATTCCATCTTCTCTTTTCAATTGGTATCTAGGGCACGAAGCTACCCTGCTCCTTCCCTCGCTCCCCCTCCCGTCAAGTCTCTTTCAGCTTTAGGCAAATAAACAACCCGACACTTTTCATCCTTCAACATCTCAACCTTCAAGATGTCTGACGTCGACGCACTTGCTGACTCCGTGGCTGCGACCACTCTGACCAATAAGCCCGACACCAACGGTGCTACCCCTTCTACCCAGGCTGCCGATGCCGCGGCTGCCAGTGCAGATGAGGGTCGTCGTCTTTACATCGGGAATCTCGCATACGCGACCACTGAGGAGGAGCTCAAGGAGTTCTTCAAGACCTACACCATGTGAGTAACTCCGGGATATGTTGATCGAATACAAATGACCCCACCTTCAACAAACATTCAAGCAACTGAAATCGTCATTTATTGGACCATTTCTGACTCATTTCATCTCTCAGCGAGACCACCTCGATCCCGGTGAACCCCCGCACCAACCGTCCCGTTGGCTACGCATTTGTGGATATTGCTACTGCCGCTGAAGCTTCTGCCGCTATCGAGGCCCTCTCTGGCAAAGAGATTCTTCAGCGCAAGGTGTCCGTGCAGCTTGCCCGCAAGCCCGAGCCCGCCGAGGCCAAGGAAGGTGCTGTCAGTGGCGGTGAGGGTGCCAGTGGCGCCGAGGGTCGCAAGCGTGCTGGTGGTCGCGGCCGTGGCCGTGGCCGTGCCCGCGGTCGTGGTGGCCGTACCGGCCGTAGCCGTGCTGTATGTGCCCAAACTCTTTCTTTGCTCGAATCGACCCACATCGACACTCTGAAATGGATGCTGACATTGAGAAAGGCCCAGGATGGCCAGGAAACTACTGAGGCCCCTGTCAGCGAGACCCCCCTTGCTGACACCACAAACGAGAAGGATACTGCCTCAAAGACCGGCGAGGCGCGCGCCGGCGCCGCACGCCCCCAGAAGCAGCGCGGTCCTCCCGAGGATGGCATTCCATCTAAGACTAAGGTCATGGTTGCCAATCTGCCGTACGACTTGACTGAGGACAAGGTGGGTTACATCTATTCCTTCCGTCTTTTCTCCGCCTGGGGTTACATTGGCTGACATTTTCTTCTTCCTTTAGCTCAAGGAGATCTTCGCCGCCTACGAGCCTGTCTCTGCTAAGGTCGCCTTGCGTCCGATCCCCCGCTTCATGATTAAGAAGTTGCAGGCTCGCAACGAGCGCCGCAAGACCCGTGGCTTTGGCTTCGTGAACCTAGCCTCAGAAGAGCTCCAGGCCAAGGCCGTCAGCGAGATGAACGGCAAGGATATTGATGGTCGCGTCATCGCTGTGAAGGTTGCCATCGACAGCCCCGGTAAGGAAGATGACGATATCAACGCTGTAGCCGAGGCCGAGGAGACTGCTACTCCTGCCTCTGCTCCTGATGCTGCTCCTGCTCAGGAGAACGCTGCTCCTGCCGCCACTACTAAGGCTTAAATGCGCAACACATTGCACCCCACCGAATGAGGTACTTGTTAATTGGCTTGGTGGTTGAGAAACAGAAGGGAAGGACTCGACGGAGGATCGTATCGATATTATCATAGTGCTCTGTAAACACAGATCACCGTGAATATCTTAGCTACTCAACGATTGCGAGGGGAATTGGGGAGAGCCCTGGAGGGGTTGGATTCATGACTTTTATCGGACAACATGGATCAGTTGACCATGCAGGAGAGCCATCTTAGCTGATGTGCTCTCCGTCCTTAACGACTTTCCTTTTTTTTTTTCTTCGCCTTCTGTATTGTACCTTAGCACACATTTACTAAATGATGACGATCTGCCACCCGGCATATTGGATTTAAGAGTAGTCCCTCCTCATCTATATAATGGATATGCCTATACAAGTGGGTGTACCTGATTTGGTTGGTTGGGGATACCGCGAAGTCCGATCCTTGCCGATCAGAGGTAAAACATAGAAATATTGTTTCACTTCTCTTTAATTGATTTTTATTCTACAGTCGAGCCAATTGCATTATCTTTGTGTCTTCAGTACCCTTCAGCTACGCGCGACTCATTGAAACGAGAAAAAAGGGGTAAATTACTCAACGTCGGGTCGTTCAACCCTACAAACTCTTAGCGCACTCCGTTATTTGGATTGCGTTTCCTAACTTCTCATCGGGTCGCCTTTGCTTTGTATATTCACTATGTCTCGCATGTGGGAAGTCGACCCGGAAACGAGGACAAAGGTGTGCTGCCAGGTCAAATCCCCGTAACGCGCCATGGTCACTGACACAGACGTATGCCACAGCTCCTCCAAATCTCCAAGACGAATGGAAATGACAAGTGCTGCGATTGCGGTGCTCCATCGCCTCAATGGGTACGCATTATCTCTCCCTCTCGCCCATCGCCCTGATATTGTCTTCGAGAAGCATTATCACCCTAAACAACCCACACCCACGCCCCGCAAACCATACACCCTGCTAACTCTTTGCCTGCCATGGGCACATTAACCAGGCCTCCCCAAAGTTTGGAACCTTTATCTGCCTCAACTGCGCTGGCACACATCGCGGGCTAGGCGTGCACATTTCCTTCGTCCGTTCCATCACCATGGACGCCTTCAAACACGCCGAGATCCAACGCATGGAGCTGGGAGGCAACGATCCCTGGAAGGCCTTCTACGACGAACACCCAGTTACTGTTTCAGAAGGCCGTACCTTCGAAGACTCGACTATCAAAGAACGATATGAAAGCGACTCGGGCGAGGAATGGAAGGAGCGGTTATCGTGCAAAGTCGACGGGCGCGAGTACGTCCAGGGCCAAGAGAAGAAGAATAACCCCTCGCGGTCGAGCACTCCCTTGAGCTTGGCCGGTGCTGCTGGCGCTGGCGCGAGTGCTATATCTGGCGGGCGGGCTGGGTCGCCTGCGGCGTCATCCATTCGCTCCGACAGCCAGCGGGGTGGTGCGCCTAGCAAGAAGGAGCAGAACGAGGCTTACTTTGCGAAGCTGGGCAATGATAATGCTAGTCGCGCCGATAACCTGCCGCCGTCACAGGGTGGAAAGTTTACCGGTTTCGGGGGTGGTATGCCTGCGCCGTCTGCGAGTGACCGTCGCTCTTCCCCCTTTGGGGGATTTGGAGGCTGGGGTGGTGGCGGTGGTGGTCAGCCGTTTGAAGAGCTTCAGAAAGACCCAATGGGCACTCTCACCAAGGGATTTGGATGGTTCACATCGGCGGTTGGTAAGAGCGCAAAACAGGTTAATGATGCGTACCTACAGCCAACGGCTAAGCAGGTATGTGCACCGCCTCTCCTGAGAAGTTCTGTAATGTCTAGTTTCTTCGTGCAACTACTGATATAAATATCTAGCTGGCCGAATCCGACTTCGCAGCCCAGGCCCGCGTCCATGCTTCGACACTCGGCCAGAACCTGCAAACCGGGGTGCGCGGCGCTGCCGACCAGTTCAATAAGTTTGTGGAAGGAGAAGATGGACGTGGTGACGGACGCCGTAATCGTGTGGAGCCTGAGCGCCGAGACTTCTGGGACGACTTCTCGTCATTGGGCGACCAAGAGACATCCAACCACCGCCGCAGCGCATCACAACGGTCGCAACGATCTGATGTTGTTGGAACCGCTGCCATGCGCAAGGGCCCGACTGCCATGCGCAAGGGCCCGACTGCCTCCTCCTTGGCTAACTCTACACCTGGTTTGTCTGGTGCTGAAGCCGGAGACAGCAAGAATACGGCGGCTTCGACGACAGGTAAGGGCAAGGATGAATGGGACGACAACTGGTAGCATATAAGCGCCTTATTTCGCTGATGTTATATGTTTGCTTGTGGGCCGCTGTTCTGGTGCCATGACTTTATGTCCCATGTTGTTGTTTTGTGTCTACTCTGCGTTTTATCTGCACTACACATATACCTCGTTAGAATCTCCCTCTTTGGCGGAAGGGAAGGCCAGATGCATAGTCCATATACTTCATACTAGCTTGACCTGGTGTCAATTGGCGCGGCAGGATAGAAGTTGGCCGGAAAGTAGAAGAATATTGGTACATTGATGAGATACTATGAGATGTGATGATATACAAGAAAATTCTCTAGCTGAATCCGACGTTTAATGACTTGACGCCGAAGAATCAGCAATCAAAATCCGCCTCTCAGCTCCGCAAGCACGGCCTTCTGCCTCTGACCAGACATCTTCTCAAATCGGTCAACACTCATGACAAAAGTGCCCCGACCAGCAGTCAAACTCCGTAAATGCTTGAGATACCCAACCATCTCCTTAAGCGGCACCTTTGCGATAATTGTGCGCGGCCGAGTCGCAGCGACAGGGACCTCCGCACCAACAGACGGCGTCTCGAACGGGTCCGGCGGCGCATAAACACGGCTGTGATCAATGGGCGGCAGCGCCTCTTCTTCAGGTGTGGATACAGAAGTCGGCGACGCGTCCGTGCCTGACAGCGGTACCTCCTCATCGAGTGAGATGATATGTCCACCCCGGGAGGATGAAATGTCGTGCACGACGGAACCGAGGCTCGCCTCGTCGATGCTGATAATCACATTCATCACTGGCTCCATCATCGATGTCCCCGCGCCAAACTGCACATCCTGCAACGCAGCGGCGGTGGCTTGACGTGCGGCAGATGAGAGGGCTGAGGTAGTCGTTTCGGTGCCGAAGAGGTCGGCGGCCGGATCGATAGTTAGCGTGACGCGTGTATTATGCATTGGGAAGGTGAATTGAGGGCCGCGGGCGAGCGCCGCCACAGCTCCGTTGTACAGCGCTGTGCGGAACGCCACGAGGTCCATTCCTGGTGGGAGTAATGGGCTGGTTTCTTCTTCGCCACGGGAGGGGCGGTCAATCTGTAAACCGGGAGCGCGGACGATGATCTGATTGCCGTCGTAGGTTTCGGCGAGGAGTGTGGCTTCGTCTACCTTTTGGAGCTCGTTGTCTTCGTCCAGTGGCTCTGCGACTGCTGTGCAGCCTGCTTTGCCCTTTCGCCCGGCGATCTCCTTGTCGAAGATCTTGGCTATTGGGTTGGAGGTGCCAAGTGCGGATTCTCGGTAGCCGATCTCGATGCGGCCCATTGTGGCCTTGGCTTTGAGATCGTTGATTAGTCGGTCACGGGCAATTTCGAGATGCAGCTCGCCCATCCCGCTCAGGAGCGTCTGGCCTGACTCTTCGTCTATATTGACGTGGAGACTGGGATCCTCACGGAGGAGGAGCGCGAGGCATTCTTTCATGCGCTTCTCTTCGCTTAGGCTGTGCGGTTCAACGCTGGTGAAGAATACCGGTGGTGGAACGGCAATTGGTCGGAGTTGGAGACTGGTAAGTGGCTCCGGGGGAGTGGCTTTGTTCCCTGCGTAGGACACGAGGGTATCGCCTGTCCGGGTTTGTTTGAGCCCAACTACGACTCCGATGTGCCCGGCAGGGATCGAGTTCACTTCCACGGCATCGTTGGCGTACATCTTCAGCAGACGTGGGGCACGTTCAGAGAGCTGCAGGTTCGTATTGAAGAGAAGGCTGTTGCGATCCAAGGAGCCGGAATATACCCGTACGTAGACCAGGACTCCACGCTTTGCGTCGTCGACCACTTTGAATGCCAGTGCACAGCTTTGAAGCTTGCTGATCGCATCTTTTGAGCTGGTCTGCAAGGCCATGTTCTTCTTCTTTAGTTGTTTCCCCCTTGATGGCGCGGACACCTTCTCGCTCTGCTCCACAATTAAGTCTCCTGACAGCAGGTCCCGAAGACCTCCTTTAACACCGCCAATGCTCACCTCCGCGTCGGGAGCTTCGGGTGGACTGGGGAGAAGATTCACGATAGAATCCAGCAACGGCTGAACTCCCATGTTCCGGAAACTGGCACCTGCAAATAGAGGGACAATCCGACTCGTCTGGTCCAACACGCACCGGCGCAAGCTCTCAGTGATATCAGCTGACGAGACCGCGAGATGATCTTCTTCACGTTCAAAAAATTTCTCAACAATTTCTTCGTCATGTTCACTAAGCAGCTCGATCAAGGCAATTCGTGCCCGCCGCAGCTCTGCGGCTAGGGCCGGCTCCTCTGCCTCTAATTGCTGAAGGTCGGCCACTTTCACAGTGCGGCCGTCCTCACCTTCTTTCCACCGTAGTCCTTTGAGATGGATTGCGTCTGCTACCCCGATAAAAGGGCCGTTGCCTCCTTGGAACCACGGTATCTGGCAGACTGCTGGATAGACACCCAAGCGAGTGCTGACTTCTCGCACCGTCCTACCAAATGCAGCCCCATCACGATCTAGCTTATTCACATAAATGACTCGAGGAATGCGATATGTGCTTGCCTGATTCCAAACCTTCTCCGTCTGCGCTTCGACACCAGCAACCCCATCCAATATGCAGACGGCGCCGTCGAGGATGCGCAGAGACCGCATGACTTCGAATGTAAAGTCTGCATGGCCAGGGGTATCGATCAAATTGATAGTATGTGGGTAAGCAGACCGTGGAGTTCGCTCATTCTGCGCCCCAGGCTGGAGGCCTGGGGCTCTATTTACCTCTCCAGGAGGCCAATGGAAGGTAATGGCGGCCGACTGGATAGTGATACCGCGTGCGCGCTCGGCGGGAAGGAAATCAGTTACTGTTGAACCTTCATCCACATCGCCAATGCGCCGTGTGAAGCCGCTGTAGAATAACATGCGCTCCGTAGTGGTAGTCTTACCTGCATCGATGTGGGCGATAATACCGATGTTCCGGGTCCGGTCCAAAGCTTCATCCTGACATGTTGATGTCGTGGAAAAGCGTTGGAGCTGTCTGTAATTGGACCGAAGACCTTTGAGGGAGGAGCATGTATTTTTGCATGTAACATTGCTCGGTGTCTTATATAGATTGAGGCTCATACAGCGCACCCCAGGGGGAAAGCGCAACAACGGAGCCACGACCATTCCAAGGGGAAGCGCTCATGTAATATGGGACGAAAGGATGAGAAATTATGTTCAAATTGGCATTGGGTTGTATGTTGTTATTGATACAGTTGGAAGAACAAGCTCCAGAGCAAAGAAAATCGGACCGCAAAGCGGACTGGGGATCGCGAGGCTTGGCGGGCGCATTCCTCCACACGTAACTGACTCCGACACCTCTCTTCAACTACTCAGATCCTTTTGCTCATACCCTTACTGTTTATTTGCTGTCTTTGTTATGTCAATTTAACGAACCCTAGCTATTCTCTCGGTTTGAAGCTGCACGAGGTAGGTCTTTAAGTGTCTTGAAGCTAGCTGGCCGTTGCTGTGGGGGTCCGATCCTCCACCGTTTAATACTGACGCCTTCCATGACCAGCCACTCCCCCTTGTCAGCGAAGATACTCCTTACATCGACCTTCAACCAAGATGGACTACTCCGCCATCTCTACCGACCCGGACCATCCCACGGGTACCTCACCCTGGGGCTCACCGCGTGCTGAGCGAGGTACCTTCCCCACTTCCAACAATGACATTCCGTCCTCCCCTTTACCCAGCCAGGAGCAATCGGCGGATATTGGCAGGGTCGGCAATGGAGAACCCCAATCTCCAGACCTCTCTGCGCAACTTCAGAGCGCACAACTAGGAGATCCGGACTATCCCGAGGAGCATCACCCATTCGGTGTGCACCAGTATCCAAACGTCCAACAACAGCAATCTCATACCCCCGCACAATATCAGACCGGAGCACGACAAGACCCACGACCTCCAGCCCCCGCGCATAGGATCCAAGGAAAAATCACTGGTTTGGAGAGGACGGGGAAGAAAGACCCAATCCTGCGATTCGACGTCCACGTAGGTCTGCCCTTGTAGTCTTTTGCGCCTACACCCTAGCTAATTCCTGCTTTTGCTTTGAAACCAGACCAATATCCCCAAGTTCCGCACGACTCAGTACCGTGATGTGCGTCGAACCCATTCCGAATTTATCAAGCTCGCGGACCATCTAGTCTCCGCCAACCCGGAAGCTCTGGTCCCTGCGGTGCCATCGCCAGTGACGCCGGCCGGTGCAGGCACTGAGGAGGATGAGATTCGCATCAAATCGGCAATGCAGAGATGGCTCAATGTTGTGCTAAGCAATGAGATACTCATCCAAGACGACGAGGTTGTGCTGTTCGTGGAGAGCGACTTTGGCTATAGCCCCGTGCTGCGCATGAAGCAGCCGGCAACAGGCGTGCGACGAAAGATGTTGAAGCAGTTCGCGCCGCCTCCAGATGACACACCTGAATTGCAAGCTGCTCGTCCAACCGCGAAGATGTTCTACTTGGGATCAATGGATTCGAGCCACAAGGTCGACCGAGTTGTCAAGGCCCGTCGTGGTACGTTATTGGAGTTTCAAGCCGTTTTCATCGCATATTGTTCCGATTTGATCTGACTGTCTTAGGGCTTGGATTGGCTGAAGCCGATTTCGGCGTCAAGCTCGGCCAGATGAGCGTACAGGAGACTCATCCCGGCCTGGGCGCCGCGTACCGTAAACTTGGCAAGATTGTTCAAACTGTCGGCGACTACCACGCTGTTCAGGCCACCGCGGAGGCTACCACGCTCGGCGAACCGTTGAGTTACCACTCTTCTGATGCCTTCATTGTGAAGGAAACCTTGACCAACCGCCATATTCTCCTGCGTGACCTACTCCAGGCCCAGCAAACTGCACGGAGTAAACGTGCCGCGGCAGACCGCTTGAAGGTTAGCTCATCGGTGCGTCCGGATAAGGTAGATGAAGCGATCAACGCTCTTGAGGAGGCTCAGAACCATGAAGATTACTTGACCAAGCGGACCCAGCGTGTCACGTCAAACCTTCTCCAGGAGAAGCGCCGCTGGTTTGACCGGACCACCCAGGATCTTCTATTTAGCCTGCGTGAGTACACTCTCCGCCAGATCGAAGCCGAGCGTCGTACTCTGGCCACCTTGGAGAGTGTTCGACCCGACATTCGTGCCATTGACGCTTCTGGTGGTCTGAGCCGGCTGGGTCGCGAATCCCACCCAGCGACACGCCGGCCAAACATGGTTTCGAGCCAGGGTCCTAAGGGTGACTCTTGGAGCGGTGTTCCTCGCCGCAATGACAATGTTGGACGTAGCATGAGTGGCAGCTTTACTGCCCCCTCGCTCCCTGACGACGATGATGAGGCGAATGGCCAGGGCTCTGGTAAAGGACGCAACAGAGCTTCCAGTCAGGTTGGCTCGATCGCTGAGGAAGACGATGACCGTCTTGACGCGCGAAACGCAGCAAGCCGACTGGCCACCAGCACTTTCTGATCGGATTTTAGGACGCAACGAGTCTGTACATGTAGCCCCGACACGAATCTGTGATTCCCCTTTGTTACTCTTATAACCTTTTCGTGTCCTCCTGTTATGTTATCTCAGCCTATGAACAATCAGTATCTCTCTTTTGGCCAATGTAAAGGTTTCAAATTGATAGTTGCAATTGTTTTATATGACTTCCAAAGCGCTGTGGTGGACATATATTCTTCTCCAACATGAAAACCCCCCAAATGATATCAAGTCACAGTAAGGCTACAACCTATCATATACCCCCCACTTATCCCACCTCTTTGCCCCATCCCGCTCGGATAGTTCAAACCAAGACGCCTTCTCACTGAGAAAGATGTGATGGCTTGGCAGCGGGATCCGTGTCTTCCCCTCATTGAGTGTCCCCGCAGCGATTGCAATACTCTTGAGATCACTATGCTTGAGCATACTTAGAGTCGAACCACATCGAGGACAGAAGGTACGCGTAGAAGTGTTGGTTGACCGCCGTTCTGTGGGGTTGACATGCCATCGGATATCGTCAGTCGCGAAGAATGCCCAGGTTTGATAGGGCGCGCCGGCTTGTTTGCGGCAGCTTGTGCAGTGGCAATTGACCAGACAGGTTGGTGCAGTGGAGGCTGTGTAACTGATATAGTGACAAGCGCAGCTGCCGGAAGCCATTGTCAATATTGGATGGATAGTAGCCAAGGTTAGAAATTGTTGAGAGGTAACCTTGGAAAGATATTTAGCCGCTTTGACATCATGTGGGGTAGCTCATCCACCAAATGAACGTGGGAATGGACAAGATGGACGTTTTCCTCCATTACATACATATGTAGGCTATTAGCTCGCTAGATATGTAGGTATGTACCTACGTAGGCTGATTTAGAATCTGCCCGGGGTGTACAACATCTGGGCAGCTACAAGTTGGAAATACATAGTCCCCTCATCGTCCCCCACTTGCCCAAGTGGTCTCAGGCTAAATTTCTTCTTGATTTCAAAGCATCTCAATTTCCGTTTTCACTTGCATTGCTTCATTTTTCTGTTTAGGCAAAACTTTCCCCCTCATTGTTCCAACATGACTCCCAAGGTTTTCTTGTAAGTCATTCCGGTGTTCACGGGTAAACTGAACATCCCATCTGACAAATTCCTACAGGACTGGCGTAACTGGCTACATCGGCGGTGATGGTCTGTTTGCCATTGCTAGCACCCATCCTGACTGGCAATTTTCAGCCCTAGTTCGTAGCGAGGAAAAGTCCACACAGGTCACTAGCAGATACCCGCAGATTCGGACTGTGATCGGTGATCTAGACTCGTCCGAGCTGATCGAAGAGGAAGTCAAGAACGCAGACATTGTCTTCCGTATGTTTATTTAGGGCCATGTATCAGATATCGCGTCACTGACAGCGTATACACAGACTTCGCTGATTGCGATCATGTTGCCGCAGCCAAGGCCATCGCCAAGGGCGCTCAACACCATACTCCCGAGCGTCCATTGTGGCTGATTCATACCTCTGGCACTGGTATCCTGACAGTGGAGGACCAGCGTGCTGGCACATACGGCATTGAGCGACCTAAGGAGTACAACGACTGGGAGGGCGTCAGTGAGCTGGTCAACCTTCCATCAGACGCCTTCCACCGTAACGTGGATGAGATTATCATCGGAGCTGGTCAGCAGAACTCGGCCAGTGTGAAGGTCGCAGTCGTATGCCCACCTACCATCTACGGTCCTGGCCGTGGCCCTGGAAACACGAAGAGTATCCAAGCCTACTTGCTCAGCGCCGCGGTACTGAAGCGTAAGCAGGGCTTCCTGGTTGGAAAAGGTGAGAACATCTGGCACCAGGTCCACGTCCAGGATCTGAGCAATGTCTACCTGGCTCTGGGCGAGGCAGCCTCAGTGGGAGGCGGCAAGGCTACCTGGAATAATGAGGGTTATTACCTCGCTGAAAATGGGTCCTTTGCATGGGGTGATATACAGCGCGCAGTTGCACAGTCTGCTTTTGATAAGAAGCTTATTGCTTCTCCTAATGTTGACTCTCTAGATGGCGCTCAGACGACTGAGGTACTTTCTGTTGGCATCTATGCCTGGGGCTCTAACTCCCGCGGTAACTCGATCCGTGCGCGCAAGCTATTTGGCTGGACACCCCAGAAGCCTAAGCTGATTGATCTTATTCCTGAGATTGTTGAGGGTGAGGCTAAGGCTCTTGGCTTGCTGTGAAACTCGGGTCCTTTGTTAATTTGTGAGAATACTATATGGAATAAACTTATTAAGTAACACATTATTATAGGGCTCTTAAGTTTGAAGGATACCTAGGTGGCTATACGTACTTGATTTCCTCTGCCGGGTGGGGCTTTCCTATCTTAGCTGCCGCCGCTTTTATGAGGGCGCTCAGAGTCAGGCTCACTGAGCCGCTCAGATTAGTCACGTGATTGATCAGAGAGGTCCAATGAACGCTCAGTGAGTGCTTAGTGAGTCTGATTGGATGCTCACTGATCGCTCACTAATTACTCAGACTGCGTAGGGTCATCTACGTAGATCCTTTCCCGAACCCTATTCTGAAACAAGCTAGTCTATCTTTGATTTAGCTCCTTTCAAGATACCGAAATGCCCTGTAAGAGGAACTCACGTGGTACAGTGGCGCCGCAAAAGTCTGTGACTCCCCTAGTTGACCGCTCTCAGCACCGCCTTCCTATCCTAGCCTACCAAAATACGTAGTCGCGTAGTCGCGTATTGCGTTATATGCAATATTTTGACAAATATTTAACCACATCTACACTATGCCTCGCAAATATACTAGAGAGCCTATCAGAGAGTATGCCACGCAGGGTGCAGGCAATTATTGCATCGGATAGATGGTACACCAAATATTAGCTATTGGATGAAGATTTTTGGAGGTTTTAGTGCGGCAGAATTCATGGCAGAAAAGGGCGGTCACTCAGGGGGGTCATAGACTTTTGCGGCGCCACTGTATCTAGTTCCGTAACTTACCGGAAATATCTATACGATTGAATATTGACACGTTGGTCCCTCTCATCGCTCGTGCGCCGCTCTCATGCAGGCTGACCTTGGGCATCAATAAAGCCAGCTATAATTCTCTCCATGAATCTCAAGACCGGTTCTGAAATTTTAATTATTCCACATGTTTATTCGATATCCGAATCACTACAAAGCGATAAATAGATTACGATGGCCGATCCGCTCTCAATAGCATCAGGGATTGCGGGGTTACTTTCTTTTGGTGTTCAAGTCACCCAAACTTTGGTCGATTTCTACTCCGCATACAAGGACCAGGACACGAACCTGTCAAGAATTACGCAGAATCTCGAGAGCCTTCAGAGTATCTTTCGATCCCTTGACGTTGCAATACAAGATCGCCGATCCCGCGCCGACGCACAAGAGCTGTTCAAAGAAGTCGAAAAGGCAACACAGAGATGCGAGGAAATAATCAATGAGCTTCAGCTTGAGTGCCAAAAATTCGATAAAGGCTCCATCACTGGTTTCAAGGGCCGTATTCAAGTCGCTGGGCGTCGCGCAGCCTATCCCTTTCGAAAAAGCACATTGCAGAAGCTCGAGGAAGACATCGGGGAGATACGTGAGAACTTGTCATTCGCACTAGACGCCCTGCAACTCAGATGCTACGATCAGATCCAAGATAGCATGTCGGAACTCAAATTCCTTCTCGAGCGAACAAACGCTAACCAGATCTCTTTTACGATACGTGCATGGCTTATGGCACCAGATGCATCTATCAATCACCATACTACATGTGCGAAACGTCATCAAAGCACAGGGTTGTGGTTCGTTAACGGCCATCACTTTACGAATTGGCTAGTGGAACGCAATTCCTTCTTATGGCTTAATGGCTTTGCAGGATGCGGCAAGTCGGTCCTTTGCTCAACTGCAATCCAACATACATTCCGTGAGATGAGGCATAGGCATGGGGTCGGGATCGCTTTCTTTTACTTCTCCTTCCACGATGAGTCAAAGCAGGACGATAACGGCATGCTACGCTCATTGCTGTTGCAGCTATCGGGACAGCTACAAGACGGAGAAAAGGACCTAGAGCAACTACATGCATTGTATAAGTCGGGTACTCCTCCAGTGGATGTATTACTTGACTTACTTCAACGTTTCCTTGGCCGATTCTATGACAGTTATATTCTACTCGATGCAATAGACGAGAGCCCTCGAGACCGCTGCAGGGAAGGTGTTTTAATAGCGATACAGGCGATACGCAGTTGGTCCTTACCTGGTGTCCATCTTCTGGTGACAAGTCGTAACGAGCTTGATATCCGTGAATCTTTGGATCCTTCTTGTGAGCAAGATCTTGCGATGAGGAATTCGGAGATTGACAGAGACATAGTAAACTTTGTCTCTTATCAGCTCAGTAACGACACAAAACTCGAGAGATGGAAAGCACGTGAGGAGGAGATTCAAACAAAGTTGACAATAGGTGCGCAGGGCGTGTAAGTATTCAACCATGAAAAATAGGATCTAATCAGTTGACCGGAATGATGTGTAGATTTAGATACGTCGAATGTCAGTTCAACGCCCTTAGGCGGGCGCGAAACCGGAACCAGCTTGATGAATGCCTTCGCAATTTGCCCCGCGATCTAGATGGAACATACGAGCGTATCTTATGCAGTATCGATGACGAATACGTTGAGGACGTACGGCGGGTTTTGACTATGCTCTGCTTCTCCACCCGACCGCTCGAAGTCAGTGAGCTGATTGACGCCCACGCTGTTGATCTCGGTGAGTCGCCGCATCTTGATCGCGAGGGTCGTTCGTACGACCAAGATGATCTTGTCGACATTTGCCTTGGTCTTATCGAGATCACGGCCATGGATGACCATAATGGGCAGAGCATCTTGACTACTCGTATAGCGCATTTCTCCGTTCAGGAGTATCTTCAATCAGATCGCATTTTACAACAGAACTCAAGAAGGTTCGCCGTTCGAAGTGCACCTGCGAACACTGAAATAGCACAGATCTGTCTTGTCTATCTCTTAGAGCCAAGTTTATCCGAAAGGGTATTAGATGAGGCGAAGGCCACAAAGTTCGCACTTGCTCGTTACGCCGCTATGAATTGGTTCCATCACTATACAATCTCTAAGGAGGAGAATCCTAGGACTGAGCAACTAGTACTAAGGCTTTTCAGAGATAAGAAGAAGGCTTTCGCAACGTGGATACGTTTACATGACATGGACCTTCCATGGGTGAGCAATGCAGATTATGATCGCACTATTTCTTATATGGCATCGCCTCTGTACTACGCAGCCTTGTTGGGATTAGAAACCACCTTGAACAGCATCTTAGCCATCGACACCTGGGATGCAGATTTATCGGGAACAGTGAATGCTCAAGGTGGACGTAATGGCAACGCTCTCCAGGCTGCATCATTTGGCGGCTATGAAAATGTGGTGCAGATATTGCTGGATCAAGGTGCAGATACCAACGCTCAAGGAGGAGAATATGGCAATGCACTCCAGGCTGCATCATCTGGCGGCTATGAAAAGGTGGTGCAGATATTGCTGGATCAAGGCGCCGACGTCAACGCTCAAGGAGGAGAATATGGCAATGCACTCCAGGCTGCATCATCTTACGGCTATGAAAAGTTGGTGCAGATGTTGCTAGATCAAGGCGCCGACGTCAACGCCCAAGGAGGGAAATATGGCAATGCACTCCAGGCTGCATCATCTTACGGCTATAAAAAGTTGGTGCAGATGTTGCTGGATCAAGGCGCCGACGTCAACGCCCAAGGAGGACAATTTGGCAATGCACTCCAGGCTGCATCGTTTTACGGCCATGAAAAGGTGGTGCAGATGTTGCTGGATCAAGGTGCCGACGTCAACGCCCAAGGCGGATGCTATGGCAATGCTCTCCAGGCTACGTCATCTGGCGGCTATGAAAAGGTAATGCAGATATTGCTAGATCAAGGTGCCGACGTGAACGCTCAAGGCGGGTTCTATGGTAACGCTCTCCAAGCCGCATCAGTTAGCGGCCATGGAAATGTGGTGCAGATGTTAGTAGATCAAGGTGCCGATGTCAACGCCCAAGGCGAATTTTATGGCAATGCACTCCAAGCTGCATCATGTGGCGGCCATAAAAAGGTGGTGCAAATGTTGGTAGATCAAGGTGCCGATGTCAACGCCCAAGGGGGAGAGTATGTCAACGCACTCCAGGCTGCATCGTTTTACGGCCATGAAAAGGTGGTGCAGATGTTGCTGGATCAAGGTGCCGACGTCAACGCCCAAGGGGGAGAGTATGGCAATGCACTACAGGCTGCATCACTTGGCGGCCATGGAAATGTGGTGCAGATATTGCTGGATCAGGGCGCCGACGTCAACGCCCAAGGAGGAGAGTATGGCAACGCACTCCAGGCCGCATCATCTAGAGGCCATGACAGGGTGGTGCAGAAGCTGCAGGAATAAGGCGCCGGTGTCAATTCGAAAAACCAACCCCTTTTTTATTGTAGTGTATTTTATTCTACTTTCAGGTTACATTGGACCGTCTGGGCTCATTGGTATACGTATTTTCTGAGCATCGGACTTGAGGACTTCAACGATTGCTGCTTCCAAGAAGTGTAGTCCTCATTGTACAGTTGAAGCTAATACAGTACCCAGCTCCTGTTCCTTTCCCTGAGAATGAAGCTTCCCACAAATGAGCATTTGGCTTTCACGGTCGACCATTCCCCCCTCTTCCCAGAAGCTGCGAGATCGCGAAGTCAAGTGTATTTCCTAATCCCAAGCATCCCCAGTCCTTTCGCCCTATATCATTTCACATGCTCACTGAGCAGAGGTGTGAGCAGGGGTGAGCAGGTGAGTTCGCTTCACATCCCTCTCAGCCAGCTCCCACCGCGCTGCCTGCCAAAGCTTTCTTCATCAACGTCCGGATTTCTCTACGCAACACAGCGCCAAGATTCCTCTCTTAAAGCTCGAAATGATTCAGCACAAGTATTGAGAAAATCACTGACTACCCCGCAAATGGCCAAGCCTGCTGAATGTAGTAACTAGCTCATTCATAATGATCACTCTAGAAGGTGAGTGGTTGATAGAAGTAGAATTTAAATTCCTGCCACGTCTCCAAACGAGCAGACACCCATCTGTTTGGCTTGTTTGTAGGATCAACGTTCTTACAGCTGCACTGGATTACTGCCAAGATAGGGATTCAGGAGAAGAGTAACCCTAAGCCCATTAACAGTGAGACCTTGGGGGAAAAGCTTAGCTGCCATTATGGCTTAGTAGGCTGATGAGTGAGTGCTAATGGCGATACTAACGTTTTAGATGGATAGATGGCTGGTAGATTTATGGTCCATATTGCAAATTGGTTTAAAAGAATGAAAGAAGCCAGATCAAAGAACCTATTCTTTGTTAGTAGATGATAGAGCGCACCCAAAGTTTGAGAATAATAAAGACGCGTACCTATATGAGCACCTAGACATGTCAGCATAGAAATACGGGCTGTGACAGACACATGTGTAGTGATATGCAGCAGTGTGTAGAGCATGGTATTAGAAATGACCTTCTAGGGCTGGGACGTAAGGTAAAGCACTTTGAGACTAGAGTTTTTAAAATGTTTATTGGGGAAACTCAAAGACCCCCAAGTCGTCTTTGTTCTTTTGGATTCATTGAGCTGCCCTCTAGTGTGTAGCACTAACACAGGCTTATGTCTGCTAGCATGTATGTGCCCACATTCGGGTATAACGATCTGCGTGCTGCAATTTGTTCCGCACCCATCATCCACTTGAAAGCCAACAAGTCCTCCGCGCTGAGGTCACCTGGGTAGCCTGACTAGCCTTCTTATTGGGGGGTTCTTACTGTGTGCTAGTCCTAATATGGGGGTTCAGCTAGTTGTGGCTCTATATAGTCACCTGATGGAATAGCTAATCCCGGAAGTATGCCTTGAAGCTTTAGACCTGACTTTATAGCTGGTATAAAAGTCCAAAGTTGGTAGCAAAGTCCTTCGAAAGTGGTAAGCATGCCATCTTTCAGTGATCAGAAGCTTGAGACGTACCTAGACAGATCTTCTGATTCAATGTGTGTAGCATGAAGCATACTAAGTATAGTGAGACACACACACACACACACACACACATATATAAATATATATACATATCCATAGATGGCAGGTTACCTAGATATGGCAGGCTACCTAGACGCTTATAAGCCATGACGTACCTAGACATCTGCTAGACGCTTGCATATATTCATAGAAAGAAGGACTTGAAGGATTGGCGTACTTAGAACCCTAAGGGCAACTACTTGGGTACATCTATACACAATGTCATAGACTTCCTAATTCGGAAGCATAGTTAGCAACGGCCAACGGCCGGCCGCGACCGGCCGCGACAGCAACAGCAACGACAGTACTGACCAATTGTAGATCCAAGCTGCCAGTCTAATGTCGAACCCTATGAGATTAGCCTAGTAGGTAGATCGGGTGAGAGGTCACAATTTCATAAAACAAGATGGACGTTAGGAGGCCAGGACTTAGTACGCTTGCTCAGTGTCAGTAAAGGAGCCTGACAAAGTAGATAGGTCTGAATATCTATACTTCTCTTCTATCCATAGAGTATGTAGAGGATGGCCACGGCAACCCCAGGTAAATAGTCATTGGGGAGATGGTTTTTTAGGGGGAAAGACCACACCGCCTTTTTCTGCCGCCCTGCTAAATGCGCTAGTATTCTAGGGCTACGGTGCCACTGTGGTGCTGTGGTACTACAGCTACACTCCGGTGGGGTCTATGCAGGGGCATCGCAGGGGCCATCAGCTAGCAGACCAATGATCTAGCACATCTATTTTCGAGCCAGGATCAGAGCCACTATGGCCCCTAAGTCACACCGCTGCTAGTGCTAGAGTACTAGCGCAGCTGTAGTACTGCGGTGCTATAGCAGTGCAGCTAACTCCAGTTATACTCTGGTGGGGGCTGTATAGGAGCTTCATCTAGTAGGCTAATGGTCTAGCGGATCTACATGACACTCAGGTCTATCAACTTTTACGACCATAGCCACTACTACTCCCTATGCCTAGGTATCGATTCTCACATACCTAGCAATTCTGGCATATATAGGTAGGGCCCCATCTATCTGCTCACTTTCTTCACACCTTTAACACGGGCCACATCTCAAGATATCAATTTACAATCAATTCTCCTAGGCTGGTCCCTCATCACTAGTCTGCGCCAAAACCCACTGGTGGGTCGAGATCCTAAACCCAAACCCAACCCAAAACCCATTTCGACCCATTTCGACCCATTCTCTGTATTATTTTCCGGATTAGGCAATGCCACGCGACATAATTCGGCTTATATAATATTGATAAATTACGGTTTTTTATCACTGTTTTAATGTGTCTGCCATAATCATCTAGCAATCCAACTGATATGTCTCTTTAATAGAGAGTAATAACTACATGAATGGTGGGTTTATGTCAGTTATACGGTATTTGAATATCATATTGATTTATTTTACAAGTGCGATATAATATATGTTGTGGTG